CTCTTACAATTAACGTGCGAGTATGTGAATGAGAGACAAAATGTATAGCACTTTGTCTCTCATTCACGTAGAAAAGCACTTTAGAAGAACCATCCATTTACCATTAACAGCAATGGTTTTGGAATAAGATGTTCAAGAATAATGTGTCATGTTTGGGAGTCAACATATTTTTGGCAATGCTGTGTTCATATTGGGGTTAGAACAATGACTATAACTAAAGTATTTTAGTTCCTGTGTTTGATCTCTACATAAATGGCACTCTCCGCTGCTGAATGGACGCGGTGCAGTTATGAAAAACACGACTGTGGAGGAAACGACCACATGAAAGCTTTGCTGCTAATTGCTATTGCCAGTAACAGATAAACAGAATTAGAAACAGGATGTAAAGTGCCGTCCGTACCTTTCTGTGTAACTCTGAGAGTGAATATTAAGCTGTTTGAGTTTTATACAAAAGGTGTACTGAAGTGTTCTACACAAAGATATCCCATAATTATTCTAATGATTCCTTCACTGTGTGAAGTGAAACAAGAGCAGGAAACACTGCTGGGGTCCACACTGTAAATAATGTCAAGACTCAAGAGGTGGTCTCTTTTCATAGAGTCCACAAACACAAAAGGACCAAGACACTCCATACTTTTAAAAAAATTGATTCAGGCTGGTGAAAATGTGGTTTGACTAAAAATTTAAGAGCTGAAATGACCTGTAAATTAGAATATTTTTTTAACCATCAGTAGAAAATCTACAGCCACACCAAATAGTTGGTAAATTGATTAGTCATCTGATGGAAAATGAATCTATTTTGATAACAGATTAATAGTTTTAGTCAAGATAAAATGCTGAATACTTTCTGATTCCAGCTTCTCCAATGAGAGGATTTACTGTTTTCTTTGGAAGCATTCTTTGGACATGTATACAGAACATTTAGTATACGTGTCTCAGTTGTTGTTTTTTTAAATGCAATTTGCGACATGCAGCCTCTTGCCTGTTTACTGTCGACTCTGGCTGTTGTACACAAACAAACTAGCCACCAAAGCTGGTTCAGAGATGTATGTCCAAAAGAAAAGCCCACACTTCTGTTCAGAAGCAGAAACCACCTGTTTTTTCTTATTACTATTTTTATGGCTTTTTTGCCTTTATTAGATACGACAGGTTGAGCGTGACGGGGGGAGAGAGGGGAATCGACACGCAGCAAAGGGCCACAGGTCGGAATTGAACACAAGACCGCTGCGGCAAGGATATAGCCTTTGTACATGGGGTGTCAGCTCTACCAGGTGAGCTATTACACGCCCCAGCACACCTTCGTTTAAACATTATGAAAGACTTGGTCATCAACAGGTTTTTGAATATGTGCAAATATCACAACTCCAACATTTTCTTCATTGGTTGAAGGAAGGAAAGCGGGAGGCTGTGTTCGTACGGCTGAACAAGTCCACCACTAGTGGAAAACTGTTCTGATGCAAAGAAGCAAAATGACAAGCAGCTTCACCTGTTCCACTTTTCCATATTTTGATGTTATAATGACGTGCTAGGGCAGTCAATCAAAGTATGCACAGCTCCATATAAACGGGAATATAAGTGAAATATTCATTTTCATTAGTCATGTAAACACCTTAGTAGGAAAATTGTCTTTTTCAGAACAAGGGCATAAAGTGCATATTTTGTACATGTAAACCTGGTCAGTGTAATTGAAATATTTTAGGGTTTGGACTGTTGGTCGGACAAAACACATTCAGATGCATCCTACTACTACATACTGTGGGATCAGGTACCGTCGCAGTCGAAACTCACCCACCAGCAGTGACAGGAATGACCTTACCTCTAACAGCACTCTGTGCACTTTCTTCAGGAACTCTTCGTTGTTCTCGAATTCTGGCAGCAGCTCACCTGGCAGGTCTTGCCGTTGACCCAACTACAGAGGGAAAAGAGACAGTAACAAGTGTTCAATTCGGGCAGTTATAAATTCATTAGTAGATTCTCCATCCACTGGTAAACAAGACACTACAGAAATAAAACATAATGACACAATATCCAGCACCCCAGTTATGGAATTCTGATTACTCAATACTAGTGGATCAAGTTTCAGGAGTACATATTTTAATAACCATTTCTTAATCTGCAACACTCCTCTGGAACACTGCTGCTGATACAAAGTACTCTACATTCACTCAAGTCCTATAAAGGATTCAAGTTTTCCAATAGTTAAAAAATATAATGCAACACAAGACAACATCTTGCAGTGAATCAATGAAGAACAGGTAACAAAAATAACAGAACAAAACACCTAACTCTTAATCCATCTTTTATTATATTGAGAGATTCTTCACAGCTTACAAGTTTTTACCATGTCTATCTGGAATGTTCTAAGAATTATTTTGGTATCCATGTTTAAAATGTCACACAAGTTCTGACAGTCTCTGGTGCAGTCAGACTCACCACCTCTGCAGCCTGGACCAGAGCGCTCCACTGCAGTTTGGGGATCATCCGGCAGACAAACTGAGGGTTGAAGTCCACCTCATTCACTTTCACCTCAGTTGCCTACACAATGAAAACAGTCTATTAGTGTGGACATTCAGGGTCCTAAAAGTCAAGTCACTAAGGGGGCTTTACAATCTGCACAGCATATGACACCCTCTGTCCCTTTCAACCCTTGCGTCACATACAGAGAAACTATCCCCCCAACAACCCTTTAAAAAAGAAAAACATCAGAAACCTCAAGTCCAAGGAGAGATCCCTCTTCTTCCCCTGAACAGCAACGGCTGTCCCACTTTACACATTATGTGTGTTTACAATTATTTCCTCTGCCACTTGTTCCCAACAACCACTGACATAAAAGCACCTTGTATTTTACTCACCAGGGAACAGTAAGCTGAGATTAGACACACACTACTTATTGCTTTATTAAAAGGTATTTCAGAGGACATTTCATTACATATATTTCACATTAAGAATCCAGAAACTCAAATTAAATGGCAGAGAGTAAATATATTACACTGGGTAGCAAGTAGGGTGGGTTATTTTGACCACAGAAGTATTAAAATATTTAATATAAAGATGTAGTCAAGACATACAGCTGACTCTAGAGCTGTAAGTCTAATCAAGACTTGTGTATTTTTGTTTATTTCTACAGTTGAAGGAGATGAAGTTAAGTTTCTTTAACGTTACTGGTGCTAGCTTGCAAACATCTTGTTAGCTTGTTACTGAGCGCTACATGAATAACACAGTCACATGTTCAACGTAAAAACGTTACAAGTGGCATTTAACTACAAGTTACTTTCTCTGTTATTTAATTTAACTAATCCACATACCATAAAACACAGGACATTATATGGTGACGCTAGTAGTGTTAGCGTTAGCCGTGTAGCTCAGGTGTTGACAGTTTACCTTGATGAGCAGCGGGTATCCTTTGGTGACTCCCTTCACGTGAGATGTCAACATGTTGTGCGTGAGCAGCTTCATGTTTACAGACGACTGTCACTGCTTCAACTGTATTTTTATGGTAAATATACACAGAAATTTAAGTGTATTAGCTACGTTTGACTCACGCTGCAGCGTTTACCATCAGCGTTTACATGTGGACCGGAAGTGCTGCTGTTGCATCGCTAAAAAAGTCCGTCGAAGCTATTTCCGCCACCATTGGTTCCGCTACTTAGACTTTTTTAAATATCAGTATGTCACTTTATTGGTCTCTTTAGAGTTTCTCACTCCGATAAGAATTTAGTTGAAACTAGGATGAATTGTAACAGCCTTTTCTTTGGTAATAATAACATGGCGGAACAAACATTCAGACAAACTTGGGACTGTACTGTACTTTTCAGAGGAGGGGGTGGCATTAGTATGACTTTATTTTTGTGTTTTTTAATCTTGACCCTTCCTTGAGCTACAGATATTTTTCCTTGAGCTTCCCTGAGTGACTGGAGGAAATCCATGACCCTCCTTTCACTATAAATAATCATATTTTTGTATATTCAAACAAAATGTGGGTATAGAGCCAACACAAGCATCACAGAGGGAGTCATCATCAAACAAACAGCCAGTTTCTTAAAGGATCTGTATGTAACATTCAGTAAATCCTTGTAATTAGTTACACCTCTCTCTGAGAGGCTTTTAGCAGTCAGTACACACTATAGCCTATACACTATAGTGAGTGAGCACCGGAGCATTGCTCAAAACAGTGACAAACAAGAGACTGACCGTAATCAACCAGGATTGTGTTAATAGAATGCTGGAAAATAAATTACAATTATATTTAGGGTACCGCTACTGTCGGCAATGTTTCTATATTTCATTTGAACCATTGGCTCCATGATACTAGCCTAACTAGTTTGATACTTGCAAATGACCTTACTGGCAGACATCGTTGATAATTTCTGTTTTCCCTGATAAATGGTGAAATTTTGATGATTTTTTTTAATGAGCATTTAAAGCTGTATCCCCTTAAAAAAATTATTTAAAATGCCTCTCTTGTTTTGCACCACATTCTCCCCTCTCATAAGTGACTAACAGTCCCTTACTCAAATTAAATAAGAAATAAAACCATTACAAGCAAACAAATCATGTTCAAAATGCAGTTTTCTCAGCATATTTCACAGAACAATATCATATATCAATTACTGGATTATGGTTGCTGATGCATTTACATGTAAACAGTATTTTAGTGTTCTAGCTGACTGAGCTAATTATACTAGTTTTTGGTATTATCTATAACAATTGATTATACTTCATTAGTCATTAGATCGTATGTGTTGTATCTAAAACCTTAATGTTCTAACGAGCTTACAGAGTAACCAATAGCTGTAGCTATGAAATAAAAGCAGTAAAGAGTAGCGAGAAGTCAGTATTTGCCTCTGAAATGCAATGGAGAGGTCTAAAGTAACAAAATAGTAAAGTTCAACTGCCACCAAACTGTAAGTACAGTATTTGAATGAATGCACTTGTAACTATAACAGCCATATGAAAACATTGGTGTTAATAAGCAGCAAAAATGTCAGGCACAGATGGCGTTCAGTTTTTATACTCAAATTTTTTTATTTTTTGTATTAATTTTGTATACTCCTCGTCTTTGTATTATACAGGTCATTCATACAGTTTATGATATAGTAAATTGTAATTACACACAAGAGGTGTAACAAGCATCGACCTGTCACCCTCACAGACATGCATCATGCGCGCACACAAGCACACACTCTCTCATTCACATACATACACACACACAGAGGGACACATCCCTTACACTTATTAAACAAAAAAGATAAAAATGTAAAACGTTTTTTAACCACAAAACCCCCATTTTTTTTATCCTCCATTATCACCAGATTCACATCCTCTCAACTCTTATTTTGAAACGAGTATGACAATACTTAATGTTTTAACAGAATAAAAAACAAATAAAGAAACATAAAAAATGCAGGAAGGCAACTAAAGAAGAGGGCAAAGCCATTCTGAAGGGAGAGAAGGTTAATTCAGACCCCAGTCTTTAACTCTTCACGGAAAGAGAAGCACAAATGAGCTGCAATGCAGAAGGAAGAACCACTGGCTGACATCTGGACAGTTTACTGCGAGTTACAGACGACTGAAGTCCGACGTGACTTTGTGAAGCTTTAACAGAATCCAATATGCTACAGAGTTTTGAGGCTTCATGTGATCCGTATCTCTGTTCAGTCAGGAAACTTGTTCTGTCAGGTGTGCATCCATATGAGCCAGTACAAGTTATACTTGTAGCAGGGAGGGTGCAGGATCGAGGAAGGCAACAGAGACTAGTTAGAAAGGGCACTCTGCAAGGTTTATGGCACAAATAACAGCACTGAGAGAAGCAGGTGTGCAGTGGGGCTGAAGCTGAACCATAGACAGTGTGTTGTGACCTCTGGAGGGTGTTAGCAAAGGACACTTCATTAAAATATTCTCCCTGTCTTCACTGCAAGCATCACAGGACAACAAGCAGACCAAAGCTCTGGTCACATGATTCATCTGTTCATCACATTGCACCCTAAAAAGGTAAACAGTCTGCAGCTGGTTATGAGTGAATTAGAATACAAAGAGAAGAGACTTCTGGCACAAGTTCACCTTCTTCTAAGGTTCATGAAATAGTCCCATGAGGTCCAAAAGCTGAAACATGTTGGTTTCACAAATACTGCAAGTGCTGCTGGAGTTTTGACCCCTCTCTGTTCTCCATGCACCTTGGTAGAAGGTCAACTTGTGCCAGAAATCACTACTTAAAATCAGAACGCAGCTTCGAGCAGCATGAAAAAGAGTAAATGAAGTGCCCACAATCTGCGTCTCTTACCAACAAGGAAACCTTGAGAGTGACAATCCTTCCTGCCCTTGGATTTAAAATGAAGCTAGCTGAGCGTGACGGTGATATGTTTGCACTGACAGTTCAGGAGAATCTGCAGACTTGTGTATTACTGAGGGGAGGAATATGGGGAGAGCTCTTGCTGAATGAAAAACAGGATGGTTAAATCAATGTATGATGGAGCCACGTAAAACACCAAGTGACAGTAACTGCAGTAGTCGTTAGTTGTCGTTTTGTTTTTGCATTGGAGCGCACACTGACTCTCATTAGTCCATACACACATGCAAATACACATTCAGACCCTGGATTCACTCCCTTAGCTGAGACCTCCCTAAATCATGAACACACACACACACACGCACACGCACACTTTCTCTCTCAAACAGACAAAAAAAAAAAAAAAGTCGTCATCATTCTTGGCCTTCCTCCGTGCGCCACTTCAGGAAATCCTCCTTCCGGGCGTCTGGTTTGATCTGGTTCCGCATGCCGCCCAGCAGATTGGATGTGGCTTCAGAAGCCACTATTAAGGGTCTGACCACGGTGGGCGGGATCTGCCGCAGAACGCCACCCACAGCGCCGGGCAGACCCTTCTGTTCGTGGCCGCGGGATGCTACATCGCACAAGGTCTGAGCCGTGTCAATCACTCCCTGGAGAGCAGAGAGAAAAGAGTCCAGAGAGAGATCAATCAAAAATATTAAGTGTATCAGTACATTCACATACATGCACACAGGAAAACAGAAATCAGGTTGTGCAGGAAATACCCAGTCTGTTAATCGACAGTTATTTGGTCTATAAAGTAAAAATAGTTCCCATAGGAGCACATAATGACGTCTCCAATTTGCTATTTTGTCTGAACTGGGTTTCTCATATGAACACGTGACTTCTTATTTTTGGATTCTCCGTTCTCTAAAAGGGTCCATGATCAATTTTGAGAGGTAAGTTTGGGGACTCACCTCTCTGACAGTGTCGTAGGCCTTGGCAACACCCTCTCGAAGATCTGCAGGCTGAGCAGCTCTGCGGGGCCGGCTGGGTGGGGCCCGGCCCTCTGTGATGGCGAAGCGGTTCAGGGGGGGAGTTGGAGAAAGGATGTCGTACACCGTCTCTGCTGTGGCCTGTAAAAGAAGAAGAAGACAGACATCAACAATGGAGGCACTGCTTATCCTGAAATCCTTCAGCAAGTTACCCTATACTTTTTGGGAAGAAGGATCACTGGCTGAAAGGTGAACACAACTTAAAAATTTCAGAGGAAGACTGTGAAAAGTTGTTGGTCTCAGCGCTACCTGAAACAAATCTAGCTTGTGTATAACTCAATGCGCAGTCATGACAGACTGAGTACCTGTATGGCCTGCACAAGCCTGTTGCTGAGCTCCAGAGCAGCTGATGCTGTGGAGGTGCCGAAGGATGCTGCCCCCCTCTGGAGACCTCGAATAATGCGCCCATCCTTCCTGTACTGCTCTATGGGCAGCCAGAAGAGATCCCTCACTCCATGGACTGAAGAAACACACGGAGATGGAAAGAAGGAAAAGGAATGAACCAAGAGAAAACACAGGATAAAGAACATGTACATTTTAAGATGACACAAAAAGTGTGTTTGGAGCAGTGTAAACTCACATAGCTGGACAACTGAGTGCATGGGGCCAACGCCTCCGAGGATACCCGGCAGCTGATTCTTTCTGATGTCCGTCAGCCACTCTGTGACGGCGTACTGGATCACTTTGTCCACACCGAGGAGACTAGAAAGTGTTGCGGAAGAAAGACTGAGAAACTCACAAGTGAAAACTCAACTGGTTTGACTTTCAAACATGTCAAAGTGATCTAGTCTCAGATTGGATTACTGTGTATCTTGGGCAACTAATGAGATGCGTTGGTATGGAAGTGTGTATTCCTACCCATGTCTACAGCAGAGCCTCTTCAACTTCAACTCAGAACAGTTCAGCTGGGCCAGACCGATCAGAATCCCTGCAAACGTTCCCTGTGAAACAAAGAGCAGCACGGAAGAAATGAAAATACAGTCAACCTGGACAATTCCTGATCAAATACACGGAAATCTTACAGATTTATTTATCATAAGATGAGCTGTTAGAGTGATCGCCTACCTGTTCAATGACGACATGTTTGCCATGATAGTCCAGCCAGATAGGCACTTCAGAGGTGAATCGGAACTCCCTGAAAAAAAGCAGGAAAGGTTAAGAAAGACAAATTGATCTATTACCATTTAAAACCTTTATATATTGGCCTTTATAAATAAATTGAATGACTGATATATGATTGACAAGTTGCTAATATTTTTCACAACTTCTTTATTCATACAAACAAGTTTTATTGTTTGTAGCACAGAAACCTTATTCTCTTTAGTTTGTAAAAGCCAAGCAGCAACCTCCGGGGTTGAAAAATGAAGCCAACGCAAAAGTAACCTCAGATTCACAGACTTAAGGTATGTACAATTTGTTTTAATAGTTTTAAGCCTGTTTTTCACAGACAAATATTAGCATTAGCATTATCGCAATTAACCATAGCTGTAAATGCACCTGGTTAACTAAGCTTATAGCTAGCATAAGGGTTAACTCCACCCTCTCATCCAAATATGGTCAGTTCTGGCTCCAAAAATTCAAGATGGCGACGGCTTTCACGTGAAACTCAAGGCTAGAAACCAATAGGTGATGACACAGTGGCTATGTCGATTACTCCTATATAGTCTGTGGTAAAAGCAGAATCAGACTTCCTCCGATCCCTCTTGAGAATAAGTGTTACGTGATACGTACCGGAAGTAGATCGGCTGGTCAGAGGAGGAGGTGGAGCCGGCAGAGGAGGAGCTCTGCTCACTGTAGGTAGTCTCCACAGAAGCTGTGAGGTCAGGTCCCAGACCAGCGGCTGATTCCGCTTCTTCAGACGGCTTCTGGGAGGAGTCTGCCTTCACTGAGGAAAAAATAAAGAGACCAAAGAAAAGGTGAAACATAGAAAGTCACCACAGTGTGTCCTAAAATAAATACAACATCAAATGTTAAACATGCTCAAAATTAGCTTGAGTTAGCATTTAAACAGGTTTTTCAGACAGAGAGAAAGAGTCACGCTACAGTGATCAGTCCTTGTACTGTACACGTAACTCCACAAAAATACCCATCGGATGTAGCTCACCTTCAGTTGCAGGGTCCACTGGCAGGTAAGGGTTAACAAAGGAAGCTAGATTACTGAAAAAGTCCTTCAGGAAAAACAGTGCGTCCTGGACAGGAGACAAAAAAAGCTGGTTAGATCATTTTTGCAAATAAAGTTGTCTACTTCTCTCAAGGCCGAAGCACTCACAGAGTCATTTAGTTTCTTAGCTTTCGTTTAAGTGGCTCTATGCCGCCACTTTCGGGTGTCATGAACTGTAGGTGAGACTGTTTCTGGATTGAAAACATTCCACTTTTAGTATTTAGTCTCAGGAACCACAGTTACCTGGTCAATGTTAAGTCGTAGTGGCAGCAAGCTGACTCGGAGACAGCACTCTGGACCACCGAGGCCAGACTCTGGACACACCTGCAGGGCCTTCACTGTCAGCTACGAAATGAAAATACACAATATCCATGACATTATCAATATCAGCCAGGTAATTTCAACCACAGAAACAACATCTGTCATTTCAGCTGTTTATAAATCAGAGACTCCCTTTTTGGCCCTCCCTGCTGTCTCACCATGTTGGAGTGGGCTCGGCGGGGCATGCTCTCACTGGTGTAGAGGTAGAGGAATTTGTTGATTTGTGAAGAGGCCAGTCGGTCTCGAACCTCCAGCTCCTGCACGATGAACACCTGCCTGGAGAGGGGCTGCTCACCACCAGGACCGACCCCGACTGCCACTGAGCCCTCCCCATCCTGACCTGCTACTGCCACTGGGTAGGACTCATGCTGGAAGGACACCTGGAAGACAAAGTAGGAGGAACATGTGGAAAAAGATGGTCTCGAAATGTGTTTGGGGGCTCTGGTGAAGCTGTAGATCTACCGGGAGAGTTACAGCAATTTTTAAAAGGGAAGCAGCACAGTTTAATTTAAAGTTTGACATTTGCTGCTTCCTTGCCAAGAGTTAGACGAGAGGATGAAAACCATTTGGATATCTGTATGATATATACGTATATGAAGCCAGCAGCTGGTTAATTAAGCTCAGCACAAAGACTGGAAACACAGGGTAACAGCAGGCCTGGCTCTATCTAAAGGCAAAAAAATTGGGGGGGTTCCCACACACTGCAATTTTAAGAAAAACTTACTTAACACATACTGCACATGTATATATACCTTGGTGAGTTGGATCTCCATCAGCAGTGTGTGCTGACGCCCGCTGCCTCCAGCCCAGCGCCAGGAGTTCTGGGGCCGAGAAGGAGCGACGGAGCGAGATGGGGACCCACGAACACCAGCAGGGACTGAACGGCCTCTGTAGAGAGGGGAGAAGAGACACAGTGAGAGCAGCAGTCAAAGGAACAAACCACACACAGGTGCAAAATTCCCAAAATGTATTTATTGTGATTTTTTGTGGATCTGAAAACTGACTTGTGGCCTTGTGTGTGTGTGTTACCTGTTTGCTTGCTGGGCATGTATGGACATGGGCTTGCCGCCAAAGTCCTTGCCCCCGTAGAGATGCCAGACCACAGAGATCTCCCGCAGCACCACCCTGCTCTGGGGCACTGGAAAGCGGCTGGGGGCTCGGAGCAGATCAGAGCTGCCTCGAGGCCTGGAGAAGTGACTGTCCTTCACCTTGATGGGCCCCTGAGACAACACCGTCACCACGGGCTCCCCGTCCCTGGGCTGCAACAAATCCCACAGGTGGGCATTTTGTGAGCAAGTATAAATATCAGTTTTGAAAAGATGTAATCGTATGAGAGAAAGAACAGTTTATAAGAAAGACAAAACCCATAAAAGTAAGAAGAAAGACTCACAGGAATGCCCATGCCGGGAGCCTCGAGGATACAAAAGTCATCATTGTCGGTGGAGCCCTCGGAGCCTTCCTCTGACATCATATCTGCCTGTGCCTCCGTTGCTGTGGCAACCAGGCCATCAAGCTCAGAGTCGTCCCCCTGCAGGTCAGAGGGGCTGCGCTTCGGAGCTTCACCAGGGAACAGGTAGACGGAGACAGGCGAGCCTCTCGGCATGGAGGGTGAACCTGAGAATCAAGAGTCCATCTGTCAGTTTAAGAAATCATCAAAAACAACATGCAAAGTCTTTAAGGGCTCGCCAAGATGGTACTGTGAGCACTCTCCACTTGCACTTCTGCATACAAATATAAATGACACCACTGACACCAAATTTTATTGTCGTGTCAGTGAAATCTGGCAAATCTGAGTTTCATGTGTTTTTTCTTTCATATCAGTTCAGTTAATTTGGTCAAAGTGTGACATGACACAGTTAACAGCACTTGTGAAAACCACTTTGAAATAATCAGCCCACAGTCCTCTTCCTATACTCAAGGAAACATACCTGGATCTAAGCTCTCTTCTCGGTGGCTCTTCTCTGTGTCGATTAAGGCATCAGCCAGGTCGTACTGGTTGATCTCAGCGGTTTCAGCTGGAGGGCAGGGTAGCACCGACGCAGGACTTTCTGACAGCTAACAAGACAGAATATTAAAGAGGAACATCAGACATCTGACATTTTTATACTTGAGGTACTTACCATGTCTTAAGCCAATATGTCATTTTTATTAATTCATTATTTTAATTCTTCATTGACTACACCAGACTTACTGGTAATTTCTGGCCAGCAATTTCGGTGGGTGAGGCATGTCGTGGCGGGGGGTGCAGGTCACCCTGGGAGACCAGGTACTGCAGCAGGTTGACAAGGGCGGCGCAGGAATCAGCACAGGTATGAAGGTGAACCACGTTGTTGGAGCAACGAAGCTCAAAGAGAGGCTGAGACTGGAGAACAAAGAGAAGAAGGAAGCACATTTAAATTAATGACAGGAGGATCAGTAAGAGGTGGTGACAGAGAGAGATATAATGTAGGAGGAGAGAGGATGAGAAAAGAGGAAAAGTTAAAAAATAAAACACATCACAACACTATAAAGATAAAATGGACCTAACAAATGCCTCAAAGAGAAAACCAGGCTGTGTAAATGGACATACCAAACATCATTGTTACATAACTGGCATTAAACTGACCTTTCTCACATTTGTACTTCTTGTTACTGATTGGCTAAAAGGGCAGCAGCCTCATTGTTGTCGGACAACATGTTTACAGTTGCCTTGTTGGTTCTGGTTCAACTGAAAAATGATCCTGGTCCTAAACTGCCGTCTGAAGCTATTATTATGGCAAAACTTCATTAAGGAAAAACAAATATTTACAAACATGGGGCCTGCGTTCGTTAGTGGTTTTCAAAGCACACTGAACTAAATGATAATGTTTTGTTTATGTTCACATTTTCACTGTCATTTATTTTTGCTGTGGTGCTTGATGGCCGCTGTGTGACTGTGAAGGAAACACAGGTTATGTAAACAGATGGCGAGCACTCACCAGCTTGCCTGTATCGCTGCCTTTCCATGTGGTGATGGCGAGCTCCAGCAGGTCGATGTCCAAGACGCACACATAGTCTGTGTGACACAGAGACACAGTGGTTTTAATTGGACACCTGTTCTTGTTTACATCACTAATACTGACAGCTGTATTGGCCCTACAAACAGTGATTAAACGGAATACTTCAGCCCCCCAAAATGACCATCTGTATATCACTTACACATCCTGTGCTACATTCAATCCATAAAGAAAAGTTTGTTTTTTTTCACATGCCTCGGGTAAATGCATTATCTAAAAATGGAGAAAATTCTTGATGAAATTAAGTCGCCATCTGTTTGCAAACTCTCACAAAGCTAACGCAGTATAATCTAAGCCTCATTTACCAAGTCGTATGCTCAGTACTTTCCACACAGACAGCCCTTTTTGACAGGGGACTGAACTAAAAGCAAAACGTCCCTATGCCCTCCTCAAAGCAAGACTCCATTTACAAAAACAGTAATTTTACCTCACTGAACACAGGAGCTGCTGGTCTACCACTGCCTCGATTAGCTAGTCTGTTTGTGTAATTGTGTGACTTTGATGAATCCGAACTAACCCTTTTAAACACCAAAATCACACAGTAACACAAAAAAACTACAGATCGAGGCAGCAGTAGACCAGCAGCTCCTGTGTTCAGTGTGGTAAAATGACTGCTTTTGTTAATAAGGTCTGGCTTTGAAGGGAGCAAAGATAAGTTTCAGTTTAAAACTGAGTACCATTGACCACTGAGTAAAAGCGTCAATTTGAAGGAGCATTAGGAGCCAGTATTATAAGAGAGCATCTGCTGATGACACAAAAACAGTATTTTCATTAACTCTAAACAGCACACACACATGTATAATGTCTCACCTCTCCTCAAGTCTACGGTGTCAGTCTCACATTTGTCAGAGAGGTAGAGAGCAGAGTCATCCAGGATGAATCTGAACACAACACAACAGAAACACAACTTACACAAAGATCTTTACACTGTGACACATCAGCTCACGTGGATGGTCAAAATATTTACGGTGCAGATTATCATTCCAACAAATAATATAGTATCAGTCTTCATGTTTAGTTGATGGTGAACTGTACCTGAGGTGGAAGGTGGCAGTGTCAACGATGATATTACTGGACAGAGAGAAGGACTCTGCTGTGAACAACACGCGCAGTGGCAGATACAGAGGTCTGGCAAACGGAAAAACAAAACATGACGGTGGAAAAAAGGAGGAAAATATCATGCAGGCTGTTTTAAGACATTTTTATAGGTATAGTATATACCTGTAGTCGACGGCACAGGTAGCGAGATGTGTGTGGAGGACAGTGATGACGGCAGGTGCTGTGTATCCCAGAATGGGATCGTCGATGACATCCAGGAAATCAACCAGCTGTAACAAACAGACAGACTCAGCTGGCAGGCAAAACAGCAAACATGTTAAATTAATCCAGCTAATTTGATTTCAGCGTTCAGCATGGTTTACATTTATCTGCACAATCCAAATGGTTTAACTGGAAAATAAAACAGAACAAATTGCAATAATAACACAGGCTCCAAGTTTATTAGATTAAGAAATTTGCCGTATTAAATCATACTTTAGTGGTTACAATGTAACAATATATGCTTATTATCTCTGGGCACAAGAAAGGGGAAAAATGTTTTATGGCTGGGCTGGTGATGTAGTGCTGGTGGGATCAGTGAGGGAAAGCAGGCTGAAGTTAAGCGCTACCAGAACAGACGGTATATCATTCCTGGTCAAGTCATCTATGTCCTCACTCTCTGGATATTTCTTTTATGTGCTCAATTTTCTGGATGGAAAGATTCTTGTCTGTCCTGCATTTTAAGTCTGCAATATCAAATTACTTTCAGTTATTTTGTCATTAACTGTAATCACCTTCAACTCTCCTGAAGCAAGCGTCTCAATGATGCAGCTGCAGGTAATGAGGTCATTTATGTAGTTGGAGAAAATGCTTAAATATCAAATGGCGAAAGGAGGATAAAGCATGAGATTTTCTAGTTCAGCAAAGACAACTATCTATACATATTTGATTGAATCACCAGGTATCGTGTTGTCTGTAAAAAACAAACCTGTTAACAGCCGACTGTTTCATCTACAGGCTGAGATTTACTTGTTGCAGTCTGATGCTGCTCTACTGTGTGAATGTGCGATTAACAAAACTGACAGTGAATATTCAGTGTGAAAGCCTTGATTAACCCGCTACACAACAGGTTTTCATCATTTTTTCATTTCTCTTCCTACGTGACTGTCTGCACTTTTCCTTCCCCCAGAAGGGTCACAAAGTTGGCAATGCCAGTCTGGTTTATAGCTTGGGGCCAAAGCCTGCCTTTCTTCGATCTTTAATCTCTAATCTTTTTAACACGGCAGGGGACAAATAAGAGTTTTGCATTTTTGTATTTATTGATGGTACAACCAACTACACAACATTTCTTTGGCATAGCATTATTAATTCAAACTGGTTTGTTTAAAGTGGAAATTGTACGCTGTTGGTGTCTACGCTGAAAGCTGCATTAGCGCACTTTGGGTGATGCACTGTCAGTCTGATGCGTGATCTGTAATGGCCCTGACACACCAAGCTGACGGTCAGCTGTCGGTCAATGTTGGGCCATTGGTGAGCGCCTGCTGCCCTCATTGGGTCTCATTGGCTCTAGTTGGCTTTTTTTCCCACCGATTCCGCTGGTTAAATCGGCATCAGCGACTGCGGAGCCCATTGGCGGATGAAATCACTCCAATTGGCAGTTCAGCTCAGTGCATGTGAATAACAATGGAAGTGAGGAAAGTGAGCTAAAATCAAGAGGGACTGGGACTGAAACAAACTTGTTACATAAGGTAAGATTATTTTTTTAGCCACTGAGCTCTTGATCAGAAACGTTTAGTGATGGTATGTGTTATTATTCACTGGCACCTGGTATATATGCCGTTTTTCCAACACTGAATTGTGTTTTTAATGTGCTAACTGATTGCAGACGACTGTTGTCTGCTGGTGTGGAGTTATGTCCTCTCACGCAGGCGCAGAGCCTGCATGTGGGCTGACTGTCAACTGTAGTCTTTGTTGTGTGTTCATGTGCAACTTTTTTGGCCAAGACACAGTGACGTCAGGTGACGCAGCCAAGGGCAATCATTGCCGCTAGTTCGCTGAAGTCAGTTTTGTGTGTCTGGGCTTTAAGAGGACCTCCTTGTGCTGCTTCTCACCTGCTCATGCCAGCTGTGATTAGTCTGTGTCATGTAATGTCGCATGGTGGCACCTTGAAGTCGAAGGGCGACTAGGAACTCCTTCAAAAGAGAGACAGAAACAAACATTGTTTAATTTCAAACTTGCACCAGCTGCACAATCGGGCGTTTGAAGAGGACGTACCTTGACACTCCTCTGTGGGTCCAGTGTGATTTTGATGGCTGTGGACAACATCTGTACCTCCCCCTCCTTGCCGCTTACACTGGCCACACCCACCTCTGTGGGGTAGATGGTAGGGTCCAAATGCTTTGGGGGAGTGAAGTTGGGCATTTCCAACCGCTGTGGGATGGGGGTGTCCTTCACCACCGCTGAACGGAACATAGATAAGCATCTTCTACTTAGCATTAAATCTACTTCAACATAGTTCAAAGAGGAATATATGAATTATGTTGCAGTTACATGTTTGCAAACAACATGACAATGTTCACCTCGATGGTAGAGTTCAACTCTTCTGCTCTCCAAACACAAGAAATTTAGATTTGGATCGTTCTGGTGCTGCGCTACACTAAATATCTTCCCCCCTTCCAGGTCGAGCACAATTTCCCCATGACTCTGGTCCTCCTGATCAGTGAGATGAAATGGAAAAAGTTTACAAACACAATGATAAGATAAGAAAATGGATACAGGGAAAATAATTATAAAGTGTGAATGGATCAAGCCAGAGCTGTTTTTAAGTTTTCTGAACCAAGTCCATGTCACGTCTCAGGTCTTTGTGACGTGACTTGCGAGCAGCCACATGGCTCCCTACCTTTTTGTCTGTTCTGGCTTGGAGCCGACCTTTGTTGATGATCACAGTGAGGGAGAGGAGGCTGAGGTTGTGGTTAGGCCGGGTCGCTGACTGTTGCGTCTTTCCCGATGATTCACTGGCCAAGTAGAACTGAGGCTCGTCCTCCTCTGAATCAGAGTCTGTGGCAGAGAGAGAAGACAAAGGAGACCATACTTAAACTATTAACATTCATTCATCAGTGGAGGAACAAACACCTTGATACAAATACACACAAAATCTAAAAATGTTTTGTGAGGCTGGTTGCTTTTATATCACATAGATCTACATGCTGTTTTTCCATCAAAGCAATCGAGCTCACCCAGTCTGAAGGCCGACTTGCAGAGCTGGAACTCGTCGTGTTTTTGACGGCTGTGGTCGGGGCTGTGGGCTGGGGGGGGAGGAGGCTCCCACATCAACAGATCATTATTGATCCTTTTGGACAAAGGGGTGGGTAAGGAACAATAATGTTACTTCAGATGCAGGATTTAAGGCCAATATAAAGACAAAAAAATGAACAAAACAAAATTGCCAAATATGCATGTCTTACAGAAATCTCTACATGTCAAAAGTTTTTGATACCAAATCACACCATGGGTTTTTCTATGGTGTTCCTCAAGTTTTAGGTGTCTACATGTGGTGCTTTGGAGGGATTTTTGTTCATTTTTTATCAATTCTCAAGTGGTAGAAAATGCCTAAATTTATTACAGTATATAGAACAAATAGTATCAACTACTGAAATCAGAAAATAATTTAATTCTCTGTATTTAAGACATGCTACTGAAGAAAATTTAGAACATTTCCAACTGTTTTGGGGGACGCCTGGATAATCACACCTGCGCCACTGCTGACATACCTGTTGTAGAAGCTCTGGAAGGCCTGTTTGCTGGGCAGGAGGACGTAAGCCAGTGGCAGGCAGATGTCCACCGCACACTGACACTGAGCGACACACTGCGCCTGAAACTGACGCATCTCCTCTGGGTCAGCTGGAATCACCATCTAAAACAAGGAAGGCGGAGGGATGAGTTCGGCCTGGAATCTTAATAAGATGGTGATATTAAGTATTTTTTCGTGTGTGTCAGCGCACCTCCTCAGTCTCGAACATGGTGCGGTTGGAGGAGAACGGGGAGCTGGTTTTGTCGTTAAGTTCACAGTGACTTTCAAAGAAGGCGGCCCCGAGATCCCTGATGAGGTTCATCCCACCCAGACCTGCTGTCGGGCCCTGAGTCTCACCGCCACGCACACGCACTGATATCCTGCTCACAGAAAAAATAGTAAGTACGTATGCTGGCTTGAGATAGAGTAACAATATTTTTGTCTTATTTGTTGAGCAAGAATGACTCCATTTAGACTCCAACTTTCTCTTGGAGAGCTTTGGTACTATAAAGCATCTACTAACCTTGGCAGAGAGACACGGTTCTTCTTCACTCTGATACAGGGGAAAGAGCCGCCCTCCCAGCCCTCGTATGAGCCTGTTGAGACACAACTCATCAGTTCTATTTCTATCTTTTTAAAGGTCTGCTACAGCTCATGTATACAAAAAAGTATGAGTTGCTGATAGGACATCTAACAGTACCAGGCCCAATGACAAGGCAGGGCCTCCAACATTCTTCAAAACAGCTTCTTCCCGAAAGCTTTCACACTGTTGAGCATGGCCCGAGTTTGTAGCTTTGTGTCACCGACTTTTATTGAAATTGACTGATAGCCTGTTGCTGTGTTGCTCTTGGTGTGAACACAGCATGACAGAGCTAGCCTTACATATCAAGCCCTTAGCAGACACATTTAGACAGCTACATCATTATAAAATGGCAGGAACTGTAAAACTGTCAGTGTGTGTCCTTTATAATGTGAAACATGCAACAACAAGCAACAAAAGCAACTCCCACCATATGTATGGCATAAAAGCTAGTCAGAGGAAATGACTAACGGCGCTATATTTATAAAACCAAGGAGCTTTCCGAGTGGATTAATCTGATGAATTATGTTAAATTGAAAACATATTGGACTTTCTATGTTGGACTTTCACGAATGCACTGCAACCCTGAACTTATCCAGACATTACCCGGAGGAGCTGTATGTGAGAACACAAATGTCCAAATCAATGGGAGTGGACATTAAACTGACTTAAACCTGCCAGCTCCCGAGTACAGAGTCTGTGTAATGTACAGATAAATAGAGCTGGTCATTGTCCGGAGAATTCACAGCGAGTGAGTGGGCGTGCTGGTGACATTTCTATCACGCGACCGGTGTAAAAAGACAAGAATACAACTATCCAAGGGTGAAGATGAAGGGTCATGTACATGTAGATGCCAATGAAAACATTGAAGTGGGGAGACGATGAGATCTGGGAACTTCTGTTGGTTAGGGCTGAAGCCAAAATTGTCAGATAACAGTTATGGCAAAAGAGGTTGTTTATGACCAAATTACAATCAAGCTACATAACCAAAAAGCCGCAGTTTCCACAGTGTACTTTTTCTCATCATGTCCTGCCTCCTGTTCGCTCTACCCAGGTGCCACCCCTCACCTTAACCAAACAGATTAAGTCCAGTACTTGAGAACGCATCTGACAGGAACAATCTCCTGCTGTGTGCTACATGTATGAAAGGGCAACTCATATAAAAAACATCATATTTCATATGTTTGTATGTAAAATCAGCTTTGGGTTTCTCTATTCATGAATATTCAGTCAGTACAAGAGCTGCTGTACAGTGTTGTTGTGTTCCCACCATGCAGGTCGGTGAAGGAGGCCTCCAGCAGCTGGGTGAGGCAGGGAGCCCACGGCTGTCCTGGTAATGTCTGCTCGCTCTGGAGGTCCGGGGCCTCTTGATGCTTCAGCTCCAGCTCTGTCAGTTCCAGCACCAGCGTCTCTTCCCGCACTGCTTTCTGGGTGGGAGGCCGACGCTTAGGTGGGGGCCGCAGATCCGGTATGGGGAATCGAAGCTTGAGGACGGCGTGCGGGGAGAGGAGGGTGAAGGAGGAGCACAGCTCGCTGCTCTGGGTCTGAGGACAGAAAGTGAGAAATCTTTCAGACAGTAGTCAGTTGTCTTCTGTCACTGCTGAAGCTTCACGAGCTGCATAAGGAATACTGAACAGGTTTTTACTTAGTTTTATGTAAACTTTATTCACACTTGTGTCACAAATATGATCAGCCAGACATGATGGGATTAACCTTTCAAGCTTATACCAAAACCACTGTCGTGCTGTCATAGAAGTTTGAAACCATTTCTTCTAAACATTGTGTTTTCTTGCATTAAACTAAAATTGGGTTACCCACTGTTTGATAACAGATCGACATCTTTTAGGATCTTTTCTTTATGTACATACTTTCTTTATGATGTAATAAATGTAAGTGACGTTCCACCTGCATGAGTCCAGGTACAGCAGTCTGTGTGGGACAGTGGCTGAAGGCTCGGCTCAGGTTGCCCAGGCGAGTGAGGATGTCCAGGTCCAGCTCAGCGCTCAGCTCTGCCAACTCCACCCGCACTACACTGTCCCGCCGTACCACCCGCTGTTTACCCTGACAATACACAAAAACACAGAGACTGATGTATCTGTCAATGAATTTCACACTCCAGTACAACACCTTTACAATATTTTATATAACTTATCAACATAACACGAATGGAAGTCTTTATCTGATAAATCTTTCTGATACATAAATATTGTATAATATACGCCTTTTGAAAACTTCATCCAAAAACATTTGGTACTAGTCTTTAAAATGAAGGTGTCATACTATACCTGTTTTCACAATCAACTTTACATTAAAAGTATCATGTAGTTTCATAGGAAAAAATAAATACTTGCTGCTTTACTTCTTAAATTCCTCATTTTTAGAATAAGTATTTTTTTTATGGCCCTGTCTTCAATGACTTGTCAGTCCAGTGTTAGTCAGGACCTGGGGTTAACACTGTAACACGACACTGCTTTACCTACTACACAAACCAAACAAACACTGTTTGTACAGCACATTCTGTCCACTGAAATGCAAGACAAAAACAAACTGAACATGAATTAAAAACAAATACTATTTATCTTATTTAAGAAAGGTTTTGCGCTTAGACAGGCACGTATTAAGTCAGGGTGTGTGTGTGTGTGTGTATGTGTGTGTGTGTGTTAATGCGTACCCTACGCAGGTGTTTTTCAGTGAGGCCATAGTGTAGCTGAGCACATGGTCTGGCTGTAGCTCCAACTGTGAACAGACCAGCTTTTTGGAACTGAAGCAACTGGGAAGAGACAAAGAGACACAATGTTCTCTCAAGTCTTTCTTATGAGCTTGGAAAGAGAACAAACATTAACTACTTTAGGACAACAGGTACAAGTTTGGTTAAAAGTAACTTCAGACAGAGTAGTCACATCACATGTCATAGTTCAATGTCCCTTCAACACCACATTTATCATGACTCCATGCTGGATGTGAAACATGTGTGATGTTGGTTACTACTGTTTGATATTGGCCACATTGAAAATATAATGACGCAGATGTAATTACGTCTTTAGTGTGAACAGAGAGTCATCTTCAGAGCTACTCAGACAGACAAAGAGATTTCTACCTCGCTGTACAGAGGCTTCCCGCCCTCCCAAAGGCACTCTAACAGTTCCAGTCTGCTGAAGGAAAGGTCAGAGGTCACAGCCCGACTGTGGCGACTGCCGCTCCGCATCTCACAGGCAACCTGCACTGCAGCTCCTGTCACTCTGGGTTAGAGAGGATGACCGGAGAGATGAGAATAAGAAAAAAAACAAAAACATTTGCATTATGGCGTGCTGAGATTTACATAACGCAGAATGTGCAAATGTTTAAGACATGACACAAACCTGCAGGCTATTTAAAGGGCCAGTGTGTAATATTTGGCATGGTTTATTGTCAGTCTGAATCTGAATCTGAATATTCTACCCATTAATATGTTTATACAAGTGTATAATCACTATAAAATAAAATTCGTTTGGTTTTCGTAGCCTTATAGTTATGCTTTTATATATATATATATATAGCAAGGGCCTTGCTTTAGAGAGGTCGCCATCTTGCGCCGCCATGTATGTACGGCAGACCGAGCGGACAATCCAGCCAGCCAGAGAACGCCTTTCGCGTGTATAAGTAAACCAACGAAGACAGCGGAAGGAAGGAAGAAGGAGGAGGAAACAGCAGAGAGTGTTAGTAGTTCGTCGATAGAGAGTAGTGAAAAGTTTTTTTAGTTATAAAGTTTGCGAATGGACCACACTTACCACGCAACAGGAGAGAATGAACCCGAACCGTCATCTGCGAGGAAAAGAAGACGCCAGTTCCCCCCTTGTGATGCACTCTCTGCGGCGCTTTTCCTCCTGATGATATATCTCCCCAGCGATGGCAGCAGTAGCACCGAATCCCATTCTGTGCATTCAGCCTCTCTTCTCGCCCGCTCAGCATCAAACAGCTGAGCTCTGTTTACAGGCTACGCTGTCAGTCAGTGTGCGGGCTGGAGATTGGTGGAGCAGAGAGGGGAGGGGGGTCCCCACTTGGTATCGTAAACGAGTATGTGTGTAAAGTTATGAAGTGTGTCTGTTACGCTAGAAGAGTCAGAGTTTGGGACGGAGTCTTTTACCCCCTGGAGTGTTACCGGAGTTTCTGGAGTGCTCAAATAAACGGGCCTTTTTCCCGAACGCTCCTCTGGTCTCCTGCTCGTGAGGGATTCATTACAATATCGTAACATGGTTTAGATTTCTAAATAAACATACACCTCGTTGCTAGATAGACCTACTCCTGAAAAACTCATGCGCAAGGCTTTTTGTCCCTACGAGCCCGCCGTCATTTACCCGACGGGAGGGGTGAGCAAGTGAGCCCTGCAATCTAGAATTTGACCACTGATGTCACTGTTTTCAACCCATTTTACACACTGGCCCTTTAACTTCATCACGGTTTGTTGTGTTTTGGAAAGTTATTTGTTTACGTAGCAGCATCTCATTACATAAGAGGAAGTTTTACATTATTGTCAACTGAATCTTCTCACCTTTGTATTAAAACTAAACACATAAACGTGCCCAAATTAGTACCTTCCTATCTGTAATTGTTGTAAAAAGGAAATTAAGTGAAAAGCCACGTTCATGTGAATTATAACTCACCAGAGACACACAATGTGTCTGTGCTTATCTACCTGAGATGGGAGTGTGGGCAGGCCTTGGCGAAGCCCCCTCTCAGGTGGTGGAAGTCTCTCTCGCTGAACATGCTGTCTTTGAAGAAGGCCAGCTCTCGGAAGAACACCTGAGACACCTGAGCCAGTGACGAAGCTCCTTCAGGCTTAGAGGGTGGGTCCTCCTGCAGCAGAGTTAGGGTGAGCCCGCCGAGGGACAGTCGCAACAGAGCATCGGGCTTCAGCTGCTCTGCCTGGCTGCTGTGCGAGCGTCCTGCGAGGGAGAGGACGACAGTTGTTAAAGACACTCTTCTTTCTGACAACATAAATTATGATAAAAAGGTTAAATGTGTATAAAACTGTAACATGCAGGTCTCACAAAAGAGTATAATTCTGAGGACAGTCCAGTGCATGATATTTTAGATCAGTAGTATTTGGTTAAATTATAAAGAGGGCCAGTTACTAAAACTTCCTCCCAGCAAAGGCCTGGGGGGGGGGGGGAGCCTATCCCTGCGTCTATCAAATAAAACAACGTACATTTCCATATGATTTAAACAATATTCATTATACATGTTGAAAGCAGAATACTTCTAACATACAGACACATTAAATTTGTATGGCACTTGTGTGGAAAACACAATGCTTTCTTTATCAAAAATAAATTAGTCCTAGTACAAAGAACTAAAGGCCGACATTTCAAGTAAAGAAAACAACACAAAATCTTCTGAATGAAATAAATTTAAAAAGTGCCTCTTGGGGAAAAAGTGAAAACAGAGCTTATTATTTTACATTTTTTCAACTTCCTTTCCTAGAAAGAGAAATGAGTCTGCAACTGCCCTGCCAGTAGTTTGATCTTGGTTAGGATAGAGTCAGTGCCGTTCTCACGCATGTGTGGGTGCTCGTTGCTGAGCCTGATATTTGGTATTGAAGGGGTTCATAGCGGAGAAAGTTGACTCAGAGGTCTAAGTCAATCCAAACATGGTCAAGGTGTGTAGTCCTACTGTGGTTTGAACAGGGAAAACAGTCTGTAGCCAGAAGGCAGCAGGGTCAGCTGCTCCATGCTGTCATCTCTCTCACAGTAAACAATCAATTTGATTGGCTCAGTTTAGTGACGCTATTGTGGTATTAACTAGATTAGATGTGCCCAACAGTGCTTCGTTACGATTATTTATTCTCATTAATTTATCAGAAATTGGTCACAGATAGAACAGTCACGCATCATTTGATGATGCCCATTTTAGACCTACAGATAAAAACCCTTTACTCAGCGCTGCAGTAATTTTACCTCTGGTCTTTGCTTGGGGTAGACTTGACAAACAGCCTGCTACAGGATACCTCCTGGGACAGTTCATCATGCCCTGGTAGGGAAAATTAAAATGGAAATTAGACTGCTTGAGATTTGATGAATGCGCTGACATGTTTCAGAAAGAAAGAGAGCATAATTCCATAACATATCAAATGCTGATACCCATTTTGCTACTTGTAAATACTTGCACAAAGGCCTGTATTTAAAAGGAAAAAAAAATCAATTAAAGCTTGTTGTTCTAATTAAGGGAAAAAAGTGAAATCATCTTCCAGCTTCTGATGGTTTTTTCAGCCTTGCAGCAACAGTTGCTCTACATATGACCATCTGCCAAATGCTTGAACTGTAAACACACACACACACACACACACACGCAGTACCTGTGCAGACAGCGCTGCAGGCTGTGTGAAGCTGGCTACACTGTGTGTAGAAGACTCCATATCACTATCTGACAACTCGCTGCCAGAGCGCACAGACGTCACGCTACTCGTCATCCCAGCAGGTCCCATGGAGAAAAACATTTCTGCAGGTACGTACACAGAGTGACAAGTTAAATGCTACAATGTACACAAACATTTCAGGGCATGTTGCTGCTGGGAAAGGAGCGGCAGGAGTGTTTCAAAATCATTTACAGAAACACTAACATTTCACACCTCCACACCACCAGAGGTTTCTCATTTAAATGACATCCAAAAACAACCTAAAACTGTCTTTGGACTTCCTACTGCCTTGCAAAAAAAAAGATTCCCTGTATCGTGAGATGATTAAGGCTGTATGTATGTATATTTTTTACCCACAGTGACATGGTTATAAACTACATGTGTTTAGGAGCTGCTGACGTCTTGATGCATATCAGACAGACATTTTGTAACTGGACCTTTGCTGTACCTCCATTCTCCAGGCTGGTGATGTAGGGTTCCAGGTCGGGCTCAGTTTCCCACTCCCTGTCTCTGGGACTTGAGCCCAGCTGCTTACTAAGGTCCTCCTCAATCATACGCAGGTCATCTGAGTCTAAAGGACGGCTGAGGGCTCCACCACACTTCGTGTCTGTCTCTGAGGGGAGACAGAGGACAGAGGAAGAGATTTAAGAATGTTTGTGCAAGAGAAAGAGACTGAGGCTGAGGGTGACCTCACACTAATGAGGCATTTACAGATGAGTGTGACCTTACCCTCTGGCTCCGAACTACAGAGGAAACAGCACAGCCTTATTGTCTGTGTCTGACAGTATCTGTTGTGAGTCCTCGTGCCTCTGAGGAGTTTTTAATTATGTATTTCTAAAGCCCGCAGGCAGCGGATTACCTCCTGGTTTATAGACACAGAGGAGGTACTGACTAAGAAATGAATTAGTGGTTTATTTTGTGAGGGCATGCATGAACGCAAGCATCATTTATACATTTTACTGATCACAAAGCTGGAGAAACAAGTGCAGTAGATTACCCTGAAGGCTGATGTTCATATGATTATGAATTACCTCCACCGAAGAGATTATGGTTTCAGTTCAGCTTGTCTGTTTGTCAGCAAGATTACATGAAAAACAACTTTCATGACACTTTGTTGAAGGGTGAAGCATGGGCCATTGCACTCGTTAAGGAGCACTTGGGGACAGCGGTATCATGGGAGAACTGATACAACTGTAGCACCATCACCATTGTAACAACATGTTTTTCTTAAACTAAAGGTGTGGCTATGGAAATGTAAATACACACAAATCATCAGGGAGGGTCAAAGAGTACAGATGACCCCGGCCAAAGGCCAGTGGGAGCATGCAAACTGACTTACGTGGTATTAAGTACAAGAATTTGCTTATTGACTTGTATCACTGAAAACGCAAGTCATATGTATTTACAAAACATATATATTAATTGATATCATTAAAACACATCTCAACCTGTCATCTGACACCCCAACCCCCAGGAATTGGGAAAATGGTGCGGTGCAGTTTAGACCATACCAGGTATGACAGGCAGAAGCTGAACATGGCAAAGGTGAGGAGCTAAAAAGATGAGCAAATAAAATCTGCTCAGTTTTGAAGCTCGAGTGGAGATAGTGATGTCATCTAAAACTAGATGAATATTAAAAACATAAGAATGAAAAAAAATCCACTCCAAATTTAGGCAAAATTTGGCAAGGGAAAAAGTGGCATTGCCATTTTTCAAAATGTTGCATTTGAATATTTTTGCATACTGAGGTCCCTAAACCATCCTGGAATTGCATAAATTCACACGTTACAAACACAGAATTTGGAAATGGTGACAGATGAAGAATAGATTTATGTCTTTAATCATGATTTGATCTTATGATGATGTAATGCCTTGCAGTAATTTCTTCAATTAACGACTGATTTCACTTTGATTTCCTCTTCTTGTTTTGTTATAAGTAAAAGGAGACTTTTAAAGAAGTGCATTTTTCCTCTGTGTTTTGAAATAACTGTTATCATACTGAGAATATGTTTGCAAAAAAGAACAGGCTTGAAGGTGTCTATAACACTGGATTTGGAAATGGTTGTTATAGATCTCTATCACTAAAAGGCCAATGTCCAAGGGCTTATTTGAAATTGCCAGTGTTGGCATTAGAGCTAAGGGTGGGTGGGTGTTGGTGGTGCTGGAGTGGGTGTGGATGTGAGGCCCACTTTGGAAAATTTTGTCCCCATGTCCATAATTTCTAATGACTGACCTGCATATCATGTAACTAATTATACTGTTAGTCACATGATATCCATGTCCATAATTTCTAATGACTGACCTGCATATCATGTAACTAATTATACTGTTAGTCACATCAAAATGTGAATTGTCTGCAAAAACAATAATTATCTGGTTTTCTCAAATGTATGTCAAGTGTGCAAAATATTTCAAATGTAGGGTTACATAATAAATTCAGAGCTGAGATCACGAGACTTCAGCAACTGTAGGCACAACCATATTCTGACATAATTCTAGTCTGGAACTTGACTGTTGGCCTTGGTGACGTCTGCGCTCTCAGAGTGCCCTTAAAGTTGATTCATGTTCTCACAACAGGCCTCACTATGACCTGACTATACTCTGACTGGTTCTTGCCATCAGCCATCTTACGATGACCAAATGACACATAATCTCTTGAATCATAGAGGCACATGACTCATCTTGTTTCATGCTATAATCACCACGACACATTGAACATATCCAGGGGTCAGATTTCATTTACGTGTCAAATTGTGATCGCATATGGAGCGTTTAATGGCCAAAGTCTGGCACATGTTCATCACAGTGTTTTACTGTACCAGTGTCTATGCAGAGGGCTGCCAGCAGGTCTGTCAGATGGGTTATTTGATCTGGAGACAGCAGCATGTGGACGCAGCCCACCTTCCCGTCCAACTCCAACTGATGAACAGAGAGAAAGAGACAAGATGCAGGTGTCAGTATGAGAGAACAGCTGAATCTGTTTATCGCTCGGTCTTTTCATCCTCAACTCAGAACTGGATAATTGAAAGAAACTAATAATTTTTTTCCTCATTTAACAATCCCACACAAAAAACACTAATAATGGCTTGTTTTTTGTACTTTGATTGTATGCTCAAGTCAAAATTGGGAATGGAAAAAAGGGTCATGGACTGAATTTGATTTAGATAATTAATTTGTCCAATTTGTCTGACAAACAAAGTTGGTGACCTCTTTGTGTCTTGCATTTGATAAACTTGCATCAACTACACTTGGGCAGTTGCGGCACCTGGTTTAATGTAATGAATGTCAGTTTGCACATCATGCAGCACACAGTGTATGACACTGTATGCATGTATAAAGACAGAACTGGGAACACTTCAGAATTTACCAAGAGCCATCCTGTTTTTAGGATTTCTTCAGTATCAAAGGAATTCAGTGATGGTTGTCAGTACATCCAGTGGTGCTCATGTTGCTGCCTATAGTTTAACTCACTGTATCCATGTCATCATTATACTCCCTCTTTGTTGTAAAAGTTTATCTTTCCACACAAGTAAAGATTTTTAATGTGACATTTTCCAAAATGCTTTGTTGAAAAAAAAAAAAAAGAGAAAAAGAAAAAGAAATAATGTATTGATGTTCATATTATTACTTTTAATGAGATGGGGCCATTGCCCAAGTGTCAAGTGCAAGAGACAAAGATGTCAGTAATTTCCTGGTCACACAAATTGGACCCACTCAGTAACAAAATCAAATTCGTTCCATGACCCATTTTTTCATTTCCTCCTTTGACTTAGGAATAAATCGAAATACGAAAAACAAGCTGTTATTAGTTTTTTTGTGTGGATTCACAAATGAATAAAGACATTGTGGATCATCTTTTGCTTTACAATTGAATTTCTAATTGAATATGAAAATGAATGAATTCAGCTGCATTTAATAATCCTTCAGGATCTTACAGTGTGGAGATCTGAGCACACACACACGGGCTCACACACACACACACACACACACACACACACACACACACACACACACACACACACACACCCACCTTTGGTCCAGGCAGCATTTCGTTCTGTTTGATCTTCACGGTGGTCTCGATGAAACCGGAGCAGCTTCCTATGAGTAGTGGCTGAGATGGAGGACAGGGAGGAGATGTCATGGGCTTGGCTTCTGCTTCCTCTTCTTCCTCTTCCTCCTCCTCGTCATCTTCTTGTTCTTCCTCCTCTTCTCCTTCACTTGCTGTGGCTGATTCAGGGTGTTCCTCTTCATGAGGACCCTGAGAGATGAGGAGAAATCTGTGAGTATTTCTGGTTATAAATCACATTGTTGTCTCATATTGAAATAAATATTTTGTGATATGTTCCTCCAAGTTTACAAATGAACTGTCAAGAAACAATCTTACATTTTACATAAAAACAAATGGAAGTGGTTATTGCAACAGTAGCAAGTTAGAAAACTTAATCTTGATCTAAAATCACTTTGGGAGTAAGAAACTGATTTATCAAAGTCTGAATAGCTGCAGACTTTTAGTTCGTCATAAACCTCCTCACCAGCCCTTCCTTGACTGCTCATAGTTTGGAGCAGAATGTTGTGCAATTGAATTTTTACTCATTTCTTAAGAACTAGAAGTATCACCCGGTTGTATGCCTCAGCACAACAGTCAAGTTTCTCTTATAGTTTACACCCATGTCTTAGAAAACATGGATGCTTCACACACGTCTTCCCTCCAGCAGCACAGACGATCTATACAATCAGCACAGTTTCAAGGTGGACACCCAAGATTCACCAGTTTAGTATCAGACTAAATGTCTCCCCCTCTGTTCCTGAGATGTTGAATAATGGCCAGAAAAGTGTTTTATGCAGGATATTATGATGTAACAGTGACGTTGACCCTTTACATTTTGGGTATAAGATGTCATCACTTCATCATTTTATCCTGTTTGACATTTGTGTAAAGTTTTGTCATGATTTGCATAAAAATTCTTGAGTTATGGCCAAAAACATGTTTTGTGAGGTCACACTGACCTTGACCTTTGACCTTCAACCACCAAATCATAATTAGTTTATTCTTGAGTCCAAGTGAATGTTTGTGCCAAATCTGAAGAAATTCCCTGAAGGTGTTCATGAGATAGTGCGTTCACAAAAATGAGCAGGCCCTTTGACCTATGACCACCAAATACGAATCAGTTCATTGTTTAGCCTCAGAGGACAATGTGCCAAATCTTAAGAAATTCCCTTGAGGTGTTCTTGAGATATCATGTTCACAAGAATGGGACAGCCGGACAGACAACTCAAACAAAACATAATGACTCAGGCATGAAAAATAGATATAAAGATAACACATAAAGAATCCTCAGCAGTGAGGTCTCCATCACCTGTACTGTGCCGGTGCTGTCGTAGAACAGCTGAACAGCGCTCAGCTGGAGGATCTTGTGCAGGAAGGCGGGCGGCTGGTGGATGTCGACAGGCACGGCAGTCTGGCTGGCTGGATCTCGCACCGCCTCGTCAAAGTACTCCAGCCTGGAGGTCGGCACAAGCAAGAAGAAGTCAGATTCATATCACTACATACAAGTAAAAGTCATACCTGCACCGTGACAGCAAACACATTGGTTTAAGGTAATGTGATTTTCAGCTTAAAAAAAACTCACAGTTGCACGGTACACGGTCAGAATACTATCAAACTGCTCATGGAAATTATACCATGCTGTCATATCTGCTGCCAGTACGTCATATGATCAGAGAGCATCATCTTTGATAAACGCTACCTTTGTTAAACGCTTCACAGGATTGAAACCAGTTTTTCTGTTAAAAATCAGGCTTTTGAGCTGACAGGGCCTTCTGGTCACTGACCCCAGATCAACACAGCTATCCTGAGCAGCTTTGTCAATAAGCCACAAAAACAAAAAGGGTTCAACAGTGTCGCAGTGACGCACGTTTGAAAATGGCAACACAGTCACATGGGACATGTGGCAATGATGGAAATAAACACAGAAGCTCAGCTGTAGCTACCTGGTCATTAATCTAAGTGTGGAGTTGGGAATGACTGCAGATGAGCTCAGTTGACTTCACTTTGCAAATTTAGCATTAACAGTACTGTCACAGGAGCAATGTTCATGCTTTTAAGTTGATTAGGACTGAGTACTGCAGCATGATGTGCCAACAATGCAGTGAAATATACAAAGTCATTAAGAACAATAAACTTTCAATAAATCATACCTGCACAAGTCATAAGTAATATTTTATCTTAAGTCAACAAACCATTAACAATCTTGCTCCGCACAGCAACAGTGGTCACACATTCATCACTGTCAAAGCCACAGCCTCCCCTGACATCCCATATTGACAACACCTTAACTTGTACAGCCTGCAGTTATTTGCAGCCACTGATAAAAGCCTGTTCAGGTGAATGACCTCGTCCTTACTGACCCTATTCAAAATGAGTTTCACGCTGAAGCCGTCTGACAGCACAAGGCCAAGGAGTGCAAGTTCATAACTGCAGCAGGGGCCTCTTCTCCTTATCTGCTGATGAGCAGGGAGAAAATGAAATCTAATTCTTGGCCTCCATTTTGCTTTTCCTCTCCCCTGACTGTAATAAGTGCTGATGAGGGAGAGTTACAATATCACTGATCACAGAGGGATATTTTAGCACCCTCTTGTGAGTGATAAAAAGTGAAATATAGCAAAAAAAGGAAGCTGTGGGTATAAATCTGGATGCTTTCTGTATGACACGAAAGATTTTAAAAATGATGCTGACCACTGTGTTTCAGCTCATCCTGTGTTCTTCTTTGACTTTGTCACATAAAATGCTTCAGATTCAGTTTGTGTTTCAGTTTCTGCTCGGCTGCAGGACACTTTCATATCTTTACGACCATTGCCCCTTTATTAGTACACTTGTTCACACATGTATTTTGACAAAAAGGCCCACAATGCAGTGTTAACCACTTGCTGTAGCAGTAAAATGAGGAAAGGTTATTTGCACATTCTCAGAAGTGAGAATGAAAGAAGCACAAATAAAAATGTATGCAGCATCAGTTTGTTAACAGCATGCACACATTTCAGAGTTATGTAAAATATCTGCACAAGATGTTTTTAGTCCCAACCACCCTCTACACTTTTGCTCTGACACAGGGGCGTAGGTTTGCATATGGATGGTAGAAAGATTTCCCTACCAGTATTTTCAGAGGACAGCATTGTCCCTACCAATATTTGAGCAAATACCAAATCTGTTCTCTACACCGACACCCTTGCTCTGATCAGACCTCAAAAACCACTGAACAAATCTTCTATTGATGTCGTCACCAAAGAAAACAGAGCAGATATGAAAATCTGAGTGGGACATTTCTTCATTGCCCTGTTACACCAGGAAGCTCTTTTCCATGTAATTCTACGATACTTCAAACCACAGTGGATGTTGAAAGGTAATGGTGAAAGTGGCTTGGTAGCTTAGCAGCTTTGCGTGCACTATGATCTTTTGTTGAACAGATCAAGTGAGTCTTCGGCCCTGAGCATAATCATGTCTCTAAAGCAGTGTAATTCATTAAAAAGCCACTCAGGTAGGCTTTTCTATAAATATATTCTTGTCAAACGAACTGTAAAAGTGACCTTTGAAGGTGCACCATGAGCTGCTCTCTATCAGCATGTTTCAGCAGCATAAGTAATGTCTTTCTGTTTTTCAGGATGTTCTCATTACTATTTTAAAAGGTAATGAATATAATTTAACTACAGACTGTATAGACTGTACAGGTACTGTGGTATTAACAAAAAGGACATTTAGAATTTTAAAAATACAAAATGAAGGACACAAAATCATGAAGGAGGTGCACTATTAAAAAAATAAGTAGTCTTCCTTGAAGCTTCATTCCTTCAGTGAGTATTTCACTAATGGAAAGATGGTCTTTTCATATAACTGTGTTGTCTATGCAGTAGAAAGATGCAAATACTTTTGAAATTGGTGCTATATTACACGACCAGAGAAAACAGAGGAAAAGGACTGTGGCATTCGCTTTTGCTCATGAGGTAGAAAACCTACAAATTCCAGAATGTACTGCGCCACACCAGACTAATAAACACTCCCACTAGTGGGTGACATAATGTAAGCTGGGTTTGGCCAGCTCGGTTGGAAAAAAAACAAAAAAAAAAAACAAAAAAAAGGCAGCCGGCTGGCAACAAACAATCATGATTACAGTTTAACAGTAGCTAAAATATGTTTCTGAAAACATTTTAGATGATGAACATTTGAACAGAATCTTGGTTCATATTTGATTTGATATTTGAGAGTGCTTCTATACTCTTTGTGTCCATGGTAGCGAGCATGTGAAAATGCAGAAGCAAGCAACAGCCCTAAAGCCAAAAAAAAACTGCTAGATGAAGTGACTTGAGCTGAGAGATGAACAGGAAGAGCTGTGACATGGTAAAATGGAAGGAAGTTTACCACAGTTTATTACACATACTAGTCACATTGTTATGACACATAGCTGGTTAAAAATCGGAGAGGCATCCAATCTTGAAAAGGGAGTTAGGACATACCGTTTGATGTGCACCTCTAAGGCAACGCCTGTTTCCAGGTCCAGGGGCTGGTGCTCGATGCGAACGATAGTATCTATAAAGGTGACTTTAATACGACGAAGGACTGCAAACACAGAAGAGATGAAAGACATGCAAAGGTTCATCAGCACTGACCTTTAAAATCATCCCCTCTTAGCTGTATGTGTTCAGATTGATACAGTCAGACTGCACATGATTACACTAGGGATACTTTGACGTCTGTATGTTCACACACTGTCACTCCTTTGCAGAGTGAGGGCACACACAGCTTTGACTCACCCGTCTCAATGGTTTGTGCAAACATCTCAAGCCCCTCCAGCTGGGCAGGCGGCTCCTCGGACGCCTCCGGAGGGTCCTTCAGGCACTCCTGAGCCAGCTGCATGCTGGAGGTCATGCTTGATGACCAGCCTTGGGAGTCCCAACCCCCACCTGAGTCCAAACAAAACCAGTGATTCAGTGATTTTTTGTACTTTAACAGAGGTGTAGTGTAACTCACATGTGTGCACTTTATACATCCAATGCCAACATGAGTAAACTCCTTAGTATGTGACATAAATTGAACACATGAAGATTCAAGTTGCACCTCCTGAGCTTTAGACCAGTGTAGAGCTAAGAGGATTAGCTGATTAATCGACTGTCAGGATAGTTATAAAGTATCAGCCTACAGTGTAAGAAGAGCAGTAAAGGAGGCAAAAAGAGAAACTGTAATACACAAGTTGAAGGAGCTGGTGGGTTTCACTGGAGTTTGTACCTTGTATGAGTTCATGTGACAAATAAATACATTGATACTAAAGGGACAGTTCAACCCACAATCATAAACAAGTTTTTTTCCTCTTACCTGTAGTGCTATTAATCAGTCTAGATTGTTTTGGTGTGTTGGAAATATCAGCTGTAGAGATGTCAGCTTTCTCTTCAATATAATGGAACTAGATGGCACTCGGGTTATGGTGCTCAATGTGCAAAAACAGCAATGTCTCATGACCTGGTTACTCAAGATAACAGACCTTGTTGTGAGCAGTTTCATGTGGGACCTATTTTCTTTCTACCGAACTACATCCTCCAACCATATACCCAGAAGGTATGTACTATATGTACATGTACTGCATGTGCTGCTAGCTCAACTAGCACCACTGAGCTAGCTTATGTTCCACCTCAGGACACCATTAATGTTTATCTCACTCTATCACAAGCACAAACCTCTCATCTATAAGTAGATGCGAGCTTCCTTCTGCATGGTGATATGTTTGGCTGATGTAGTTTGGTGGAAAGAACATAGGTCCTACATGAAACTGCTAACATCAAGGTCTGTGGATTATCTGAGTCTAGTTCCATTATATTTGACAGAGGACAGACATCTCTACTGCCAATATCTCCAACACTAACTCTAATAAATAGCACTATAGGTAAAAGGAAAGATATGTATTTTTGAATTCAGGGTGAACCGTCTCTTTCAAATAATAAACAATTAATAATTTCAGTCATTTTTTTTAACAAAATTGCAAAAAATAATCTGATTAGTTACACAGATGTGAGGATTTGCTGTTGTTTTTCCTCATATATGACAGTTAAGTGACTATTTTGGTGTGTTTGCTCTGACAAAACAACAAATTTGATTATGCTAGCTTGAGGTCTACAACACTATAATTGGCCATTTTCACTAATTTGACATTTTATTTAAAGAAAAGCATCAATTAATTAAGCAAATAATCAGCAGATTAACTGATAAATTGCAGCCCTAGACCAGTGGTTTGATTAAAGGAGCACATAAAGGTCTGGACTTGTGGTGAGATGATCATGCGTGGATCCTCACTCGTGTACATTTTTACACTTCAATAACAAATCTTTACCAGACAGACACCTACGTACGCTTGCCTGTGTAACAACAGCTATACATCACTAATAGTTTGGGGAATGAAGTAATAAAAACAGGGATATATAATTATGATTTTGGACCACATTGAAGCAGCAAGTGTACATCTGATAACAGTGGAAGATCCCCTCACTCAACCTGTGGCTGACAGATACATGTTTTGTGCCCCAAAAGGAAACCCCACAGGTTGTCGACTCAATAAGTTGTTTTTAGGTGAACTTACTGGTCCGGTACTTGGGTCGACATGTTATCTGAAGACCAGAAACTTCTAAGGTGCAGTGATCAGTCAGGAGAGCTTGCCATGGGATGGTCACTGCTATGCTGCTCACAAAGCCATCCACTATCTCCAGTGGAGCCCCCAGAGACTCCAAAAGCTCATTGACCGCCTGCAGCAGAGGGGAAGCAGTGAGTAATGTGAGAAACACAAAGTGAAAGAGATGTTTATAAGCATGGTTTCATATTTTGTCACCACTCTAGGAGACTTATGGAGAAAAGGAAGTGTACAGCCAGCATGGCAGGGGGGTATACATGTGTTAAGGCTCTGGGGAGAGGTGCACTTAATCTGCTGAGCTGGTGATGTGTTCCCCTTAAGTGCATTTCCTCGAAGAAATGCGAGCTAGGCTAGGAGCATGACGTTGGAGATTGTTGTTGAACTCGAGAGCAGTTGCGAAACAGTCAAGGGTGCACGAGCCCGACAAAAACACACACGATGGCTGCTGCTGTGGGTCGAAGTTGACAGACAGCTCTCTTTTTAAAACGACTCACCCAGACATCAAGGTTGATTTCCTTGATGACACCGCTGCCGTTGTACAGGTCCAAGCCCAGCTGGTCCAGGCTCAGTCGCTCCTGCAGAAAGTGACCGAGGTAGTGCTGTAAGAGGTACCGACAGGCCCGCTTCTTGATTGAGCCTGACCAGGGGAAGAGCCAGCGAGACATAGGGCCAGAGAGAGCGGGGAGAGGGAGCGAAGAGGTGGCGGAGGAGAACGAGTGCGAGTACAGTCCTCTGGCAACTGCATAACAGACTAAAACAAAGTGTGCAAAAACAAGGAATGAGCCACAGCTAGCTACAGGGGGCTAAGGAAGGGGCAGACCGTAACTCTAGTTCTCCCCTAGGCTTGACACCAAAACTCGAAAATCCTTTGTGTCAGGACCGACGAGACTCCCCCGCTACTTGACGAGACGTTATTCCAACTGTCTGTCGCTGTCTCGGCTCATATTTTCGGTACGTTTGTGTCGAATTGGAGCGGAAGGTCCCGTTGGTGCGTATCTCTTGTTTCAGGGTTGTTTATTGTTATCATACGCCAACTGCTGGTATGGTGAACGTAAGTGCGTCATGCGTCACAGTGACGAAAGACAAACCCGGAAGAGACAAACATGACGCCACCCCGCCACCGAGCGCCATCTTTGTAGTATTTTGTCAATCTTAATTAAAACCAATACTAAACCTGCTTTTTAAATCTAAATATTTACTTTCTTTTTTAAAATGTGAACATTTATTATGATTAATTTAATTTAATTGTAGATAAAACAGCAACACATAAATGAGTAGGCTACATAGCCCATAATGTAACTTATGTGGGGAAATAAATAGATAATGGCAACATGGCAACAGTACTCCCCAATGGCAATGGCCCCCAGAAGGATAATGCACCATGCCACACTGCAAACATCCATTAGGAATGGCCCAAGGAATGTGACAAAGACCTCAAAGTGTCAACCTGGCCTCCAAATTCCCCAGATCCTAATCTGAATGAGCATCTGTGGCATGTGCTATTAACCCACCTCACAACCCACTGGATCTGCCACCAATGCTCTGTTGCCAGACACTGCAGGACACTCCCACAGACCCTGTGTCCATACCTCCACAGGTCAGAGCCAAGTCCAAGGAGGCCCCACCTTGGATTAGGGGTACATCTGGGGTACCGTCACATCACAAGAATCCTTGAGCAGATTGGGACCTGGGAAATTTAGAAGCCAGGTCAACACCTTGAGCTTTTTGTCATGCTCCACAGGCCATTTCTAAACAGTTTTTGTAGCGTGACATGCTGCTTTTCCTGCTGGGGGCCACTGCCATTGGGGAGTACTATGAGTTCATGTGACAAATTTATTGATATAAAAACCTGGAAATTGGTGGCATTCTATTATATTGCATTATTCTATAAATTACATGTCAAAATTTGATTTACTCAGTCAATCTGAGAGGAATGTCTTTTATAACCAATAAAAGCTGCCAAATCTTGTTCAAGGTTGTTCATCAACTGATAAACAATTTTACTTTAATTGTATGGAATATTAATTTATGCAATCCACAATCTAATTGGCATGGGGTCTCCTGATTTCAATTTTCAGCCATAGTAAGATTTCGGTAACCTTAACAGTATTTCAAAATTAAGGTTTAGTTTGATGAACAAGCAGAAAAATTTAAGTTTGACTGGTGAATTAAATGATAGGTCCACATTTGGTCATGGCTGCTTGGAAACAATACTTAGGTGCCCATATGAACATTGGAACTGTTGTTTTATTGTCCCTCCAATGTAGCTCAGCACAAAAACAGTCCAAGGAAACAACCTCATCACACTGAGGGCATGTTAGGAGGGGATCTCTTGATGAACAGGAGGAATGATTAAAGAAACATGGGTTCAATGTTCACATGGGCACCCGACTACTGACTTGAAAAAATATGAACCTATCCTTTAAACCTATTGGCTTGTTACACCACTTTTAACCCCTCCATTAAAAAAAAAATCAATGTAAACCACAAGAGGTGGGTGAAACACCAGAAAAAAACATCAAACTAGCATTAAAGGGTGAAGAATGAGCTCTCACACTTATCACTTTGGTCTTATTGTGGCTTAAGTGAACTGCATCAGTTGTGTAACAAAATGTATTTATTGTTGAACATAATACAACATTGACATGAACTCAAGTTTGACCACTGTCCATCTGTCTTTATTCCTATGAAAACATGTAGTGATTTCTATACAAACGACCAAAAACTATGGTTACAATGACAACCAAAGATGGTATCATAACATCAGTCCTCGGTCAAACAGTTGGCTGTTAAAACAAAATAGTAAACTTGCGCTACATTATTTTTAATTTTAATAAAACAAAAGGCAGAGTTTAAAGGATAAAGCACAAGCCATAAATAAAATAACTGCAGATTTTATTTCACAGAAGTATGAGTAATCTCTTCATTTTATGAACGCAACGTCGGGGATCTTGCCATCCGTCTGGAAAGCAAAAGAGGAGAAAGCATTTTAGGTCCTTGCTGTATAACAGTCACACCTTTATGTATATGCAGAGAAATGAACTATGAAACATCATTTTACCTTTAACTGAGTGAAAATTTGAGCAGCTCTGTTGAAATCCCACTCATTGTCTTGCAGACACCTGGAACAGAGAACAAGTGTTTAAATATTTTGAATGAAATGAATAAATGATGTCGTGAAACGCTGCCAACACCACAGGCGCAAAAACAAAACCTACTTCTGGGACCATTCCAGGTTCATGCCAGACTTCAGTGAGAAGGCTGTGAGCATCTCCTGCTGCGGTGCAGTGAGGGTGGGAACGGGGCTGGAAGATGGAGTTGGGGCGGGAGCAACGAAGGCCCGGCGGATCTCCTCTGTTGTAGCCATCCGGATGAAAAGCTGGTCGTTCACGATGCACAAACTGTAGCACAGAAGGAACACAAAAAATAAGATTCGACTGTTTCAGGAGGAAAACGTCCACAATCTACAATTGATTGTACTGACCTAACAAAGATCCTCCTCAATCAAAACACTGTCTCAGCAAAACTGATCAATATTTATTTGTTCAGTATTATTATTCTTTTTCTGAACAATTTATTTCTATAATAGAATATTATCATCTGTGGGTAAAATCTTTACATTTTTGATTTCTTATAGTTCTCTCTGAACAGGTATGATCGGTCCTCATTTGACCCTCTAAAATCAAAACAGGGTCAGTGTAAGTGCATTAGCTTTATCTAGGTGTACCTAAAAAACTGGTAATGTGAGTGTCTTAGCAGTAGGTTCATTGACTTGAAGATCCACAGCAGTTGCTAATTTTAGTATCATGTCCCTTCCTCTGGGAAAATGTGAAGGACAACAGGATGACACAAACCACTAGGAGCTCAAAAAAAACTTACCCAGAGTTCCCTGCTGGGACAGTGATGAAAACCCGGGAGAAAGCCATGGTGGACTCTCGAGATTTACCATCAACAGCAACTGAAAAACAGACATGAGACACATTAGCAACAAACGCAACAGCACTTATCTTTGCAGTCGTTGAGAACAAAAATCATGATGACGCAACAACTCACCTTCTTTGAAGACTCCACTCACTGTGAACGACAGTAGTGTGTTCTGTAAACAGAAACATATTTTGTAGAATTAGTTCATAGAAATGATTCGCAGTGAGAAGAAAAGGCTAATGACAAGTGCTGGCTGACGGAACAAACATAAACTCACCGTGTAGGTGTTCACGTCGACAGTAAAGGAGGCGATGTCGTGCTGAGTCTTGGGCAACTCATTGAGGAAAGCAACCACGTTCAGTCGTGTATGCTTCAGAAGTCGAAACCGTATCGCTGAAAGAGGAAGTGTTCAGAGAGGGAAACATCAGAAGGCATCTCAAAAATCATAAAAGCATTCAGTCTCAACAATTCAGACGCAACGAAAGGTCATCAGCTCGACAGGTAAACTCACTGGAGTCTTTGATTCTCTTCAGGTTTCGAGTGTCTTTGTGATATTCTCCCAGACTGCTCCTAAGACCAGAAGAGAGGGATGGATCAGTGTGAACACAGCCAAGACTCAGACAGGAAGGTGTTAGGATAAGTGCAAATAATAATAGGTGCAAAAATCTTTATACATACAAATTCTAACTGTGAAAACACTGAAAAAAACAAATGTCCCATTCCTTTATGTGTTATTCAGTGTTGCTACATGTTTACATAAGTGGGGTTGTTTGTGTGTGTTCTTACCTGGAGGGGTTCTGGGTGGAGTAAGGTGTTGTGAGGGATAACGATGCTCCATCATGGTAAGCATCCAGGAGTGGCTGTCTGTCCCCAGAGTCGTATATACTGTAGTACCTGCAACACAGTCACGCGACTTAGTTTTCTTGTGTGTGTTCCTGTGATTCTTTACTGCCCAAAAAAACCCTACTGGAACAGAAATTGTATTTACAGTAGCACTGGTGAATTAGGCACTAGTTGGGACATATTAACAGCACATTAATCCTGGAAAACAGACACTAATCAACTGGCTGTTGTGAGAAGATTAGCTACATCAAGGTAGAGGGTAGAAAGGTAGAAACTCACTGTTGCAGGAACCGGAGAATGAGGGCCTTGATTTCGTCTGAGCCAAAACAACTGCCCTGGATTGTCAAATGAAAAAAAAAAAACCAAAAAAAAAACCAAACAAAAAACCAAACATTTGTCAAGTACATAAAAGAATACCATAATGATAACAAGCCAGTGCAGCATAAACCTATTAACTAAATTACTAATGAGACCTTGAAAGGGTTCTACTGAATGTCATGTACTTCAATGGCCAGTTGCACCAACAGGGCTTAAACCTTCATCTCGCTAAAACTGGGTGTAATTCTTACAGTCAAAATCTTGGCAGTTTCTATATATTAGCAGCCCAATAAGCCACATTAGCTTTCTTACTAAAGTCTCCTTTTCTATTTAGCTAACTTACAAACATGAACACACACCTTGTCCATCAACTCGGCTTGTTAAACAAGCAACCAAACAAACGTTCACTGGTAAAGATGCATTGCTAACTCTGTTCAGACACTGGTGCCGTCCTTACACTTTAATACCACTGCTAACAACACCGTCTGTCCCTGAGTTGTAATCTACAGCCAAGTTTATTTACTTTTTCTCTGTGGAGTTTAACCTGCTAGCTGCTGTAAATCAAACACAGATGCGCTTCTTGTGTAAAGCTCAATTAATCTTTGTATCCAAACATCTGTGAAATCCCTTTTCTTTTTCTCTGATCCTCCATAATTCCACTGCCACAAATGATAAATGTTAGGCTACACATTAGTAAGACAGCAGGAGGCTGTCAACAAAGTATCATAACAACGTATGCACTGCCAGGCAATAGCCACAGTTGCTGGGTATTTACATGATCACTAGGACCTGGCATAGTTAAGACTGGCCTGGGTGTGTAAAGATCCAGTTAGTGCAACCCCCTCCACAAGTAATTGTTAATGTGTCACTTTGAGTAAAAACATACAATTAATCACATGAGATAAAACAAGTAACCTTGCAGGGGGGGATAGTGGTGGGCGTTTCCACATCGAATCCAATGGGCGCAGGGAGGTCATGACCATCCTAAGAAGAAACCACACATGAAGGAAGATACAAGAGAGGGGAATTAGCACTGGCTAAACTTTCTGCCACTTTGGATCAATTTATTTAGCAATGTGAGTGCATTTAGATCAGCAAAATGTATCTCACAAAATGTATTTACTCTACTTTTCCCAACTTGTATAATCTGAGAAGGTTGTCTTTACTGCAACACTGCAATGTGCTGCTCTGATTAATCACCCCAAAGCCCATGCACTATGTGATCAAGCTGATTCAAGAGATCTGACACATCTCATTGTGTTATGAACACAGTTTTTGTAGATATGAATTTAAACAATCTTCACAATAACACCTAATAGGGGGGAGATGGTTGTAAAGAGATAAACACATGGACTTACCAGTTTGAGAAGCCGGGGAAACCTCTGCCGCACGGCACTGGTACGGAACAAAAATCAAGAGCAGTAAAGTTATCATCACAAACACCACACCACACACAGATAAATCATGCTTATTACTGTACGTAGCACTGTCAGTCACACCTGCTGACCCATCCAATGTCATTTGGTGCCTTTCAGTTTAAGTCATTTTAAGATGATACACTGTCCACGACATTTGGGAGAATACAGTCATGTATAGATACATGAAAATGGAGTGTAATTACAACCAGTGCCAAAAGGGATTTAATCTTTTTAATTCAAGTAGATCTGCAAATGGACTATCATTCACACCCTTATCCTCTCTTCACTTTCATGCTGTGCCCTTTTGTCAATTCTCCCACCCCAAAGTGTACTTACCAGCAGGTATACTCACCCTCTCCCCCAACATGGAGATACACACAGATCTGACATGGGGAAGCAATATAAGCACACTTTTCTAGGAGCACACACATATAAACATGCAGAGACCCACAATCTACCAGACTGCACTGAAACCAGCGAACACATCTGTTGGGAATTAGTGAAATGAAAAGGTTATGCACTGCTGGGAGAGAGGTGGTTACCGCCAGTCTCATGTCCCCCACCCCCAAACTCTGGCCAAGATGCTGGGGAAGAGATGACTCTAGGTCACAAAACTAGAAAAAAACATAGAACGTAAAATTCAAACAAACACAGTCTAACATTCGACACCAATCACTATCCATTAAGAGAGTTTGTCGGTATCTGCGCCCATGATTATCAACAAAGAAAGGCGACCTGAGAACAGAGCTGAACAAACAGGACAGATGGCCTCAGAGTGAGTTGGACACAGCAGTCCCGCCACTACAGCCTTCCCCTGCTGCACAAGCAAAGCAGTTAACAGTATCTCATAGCCACCATCCACTCTGAAGAGATGGGTCTTCATGCACTGGCAGCAACTACATTAATGCTATAAGCTTGTAATTTTTCAGCTTAATTTGGGCCCACGTCTCTGTTTACAGATAACTGGGAGATCATTAAGCATTGGACTATAGTGATATGTCTTTACTCTGCTCTCTCTGCTTTATATTTGAGCCTTTTCGTACTGGTCACAGCTATCAGAAACTGGAAGAGGCAAGTGTTTCCACTTTTTTTTTTTCATTGGACTTATTTCAGACAAAACTGGACTTCAATTTCCAGTTCAGAAGACATTTCCCTCACAAGTTAGTTAAGGGTATTTGCCAAACTCTCCACTTCATTCACTGATCAGCAGAGGCCTCTTTCAGGCCAGAGAGAACCAACTTAGTGGAAGAGACGAACTGCTTTCTCTCTTTGGCTCATCGTATGTCATTGATAATGACACACTTCCCCCTCCGCCTCAGCCCAACGGCTTTTTCTGTCAAGTCCCATCTTCTCGATTTCTTCTCGTCACATTCTCAGTGAGTCGAGGCTCACAGGGACTGAGGCCGAGTAATCGTGACTGTGCCTGCCTTAGGTTGTCCCGGGGTTTCGAGGTGGGATCTTACCCGTCATAGGCTATCCAGCCTTCCATACTCGCCTGATACAGAGGGCCGAGTGGGCAAGGTGCTACGAGGGGAGGGGAAATCATTGGCTGCAGATTTCCTTTGTTTCATCCAAACATTTGTCAGCACAACTGTGCATTGCCCTCTCTCCGTTAAACAACCTACACTGTTTTACAGTACTGCTCAAGAGGTTACTGTGGATATATATTTTTTGAAAGCAGTTCACAGTACACTGTGTTTAAGGGCTGTCAAGCTGAATGTCTTCTTTAGAAAAAAGTGCTTCTTCTCAGAGATATTTATCAACAGCAGTGTGATGGTGTTTTACAGCAATTTATGGGACACTAACCAGGATGTCAGCAGGGGAGTGCTGGGTGCAGCATCACTGAGAACCATAAAATAGACCAAAGCTTAAAAGGATGTCCCACAGAGAAGCTGAATAAATGGCAGAGCGAAGATGGCTGTTCAAACTGTGGAGAGTTTAAGCAAGCTGAAAGGAAAACGATGTGGGAGTGCATCTTGGTTGATGCTACCTCAGCAACTTTTGAAAGTAAGTTTAGTTTGCATTGTGAAAAGGAAACGTTAATCATCAAGTGGGAGGAAACGTGTAAAACAACAAGAAAGAAGAATCATTTGATCTGATTACAATGAATTTGTGTGTTTCTGTTCTCCATTTCTTTCTCTACACAGGAATACAAAAATAGAGGGATTAATGGTGAGTGTCAGCTGCCTCCGCCTCGTCGAAAGTTCATCCTCCACTGCTGGGAAATGGTTTCCGTTATTGTACATATTACACAAACAAAGGTGTGCTTGATCTCCTTTTCCAGCACGCTGCTGCATTGTCCTGTCATACAGGAAACACTCCTGGACACCCCTACTCACACACCAACAGTCACACCACTGTGTCCCCTTCATAAAAACTTCTCCCCTCATCCCCCAAAATCGCTGACTGACCTGATGTATGAGGCCTGATCCTTGAAGAGGTCACACAGAGGGTTCCTGTTCAGCCACAGCTCCACCAGCTTCAGGCCTTTCACTTTGTCCAGCTCCCGGTCTGACTTCAGCTGGACGAGCACACAAAAATCGGAACAAGTTGGTATGAGGAGGATTTAAAAATAAGTCATGAGAAGAGCCTGGTTATTATTATCTCAAGCAACCGAGCAGCCAGTTTCACCTCATTGTGGGAGAGGTTGAGAGTCTTCAGATTGGGCGCCTTGGAAACCAAATCGGTGAGTTCATCAAGTTTGTGAATACGATTGTTGCTCAGGTTCAAGCATGTCAGCTGGCAAGAGAAAAAGAGGTGTGTAAGCACATTCAGTCTGAACCATCACTTAATGACAGCAGCTACGATAAAAGCTAAGTGTTTATCGCTTATTTTCCAGCTAACAATATTACAAACATCGTCTGTATTAATTTTACCTCTGGAATGTTTTCTTCAATGATCTTGATGACAGCCTCCATGTTTGTCTTCCTATTCAAGATGACTTCAATGTTCTGGGACGCCAAGTCTGTCACATAAAACAAAATTCGCAATCAACATAGTACGAGTAAAAATATTTGAAAGTCATTTTCAGTCACAGTTAGGTAATTCAAAAATTCTGCAAGATTAAATTTCATCACCAGATTGTCGATGTGAAACAACACTGCAGTGACTATTTACTTAGAAAACAGACAGACTAGAACCCCATTTAACAGATAATTATAAAAAATCTTGTATAATTCAGATATTAACTTGTAACAGCTAGCCTAGTATGTACTCTCAGGCTCTGACTAAATCAGCGTTCAATATCATGTCATACATAAGACTTGTGTATGAGAGGGATGAGAATGTTTAATTACCTGGGTCTGTTCGGATGTTGTTCAAGTCCAATGCTTGCTGGGAGCCATCAAAACGTTTGGCCATACATTGCTGTGAAAGATAAACAGCAGTCAACATGAGAGGCCTCAGCTGCACAGAAAAAAATCATCAAAATTGATAGAAACTTTCTCCAATTTAATGCTGATTGAATTAGAGGGCAGAAGGAGAGGGGAATCAACTTTTAACCATCATAAAAACACCCAAAAGTCAGTCTGTCCTTTCAAAATAAAGCATTCCAACCCTTTATCACTTCGATCATATTAACTGCAATGCTGACTACATCCTGGTTACTTAAGTGCATGTAAATGGACTCATGGATCTCAATGCAAAAATCTGCATATTGTTCTTTACAACATCGTTCATGTTTGTTGATCCATACATCACACTTGCAGTATTTGTGAGACTTTAATAGTTCTGTGATCTAAAAACATCATTGTCTCAGCCACATTCAGACCCTTAAGACAGTTTGTTATTTCGTCTAGCTCACCTTCAGGTGCTCCAAGTGTTCAGGTTTCAGCTCCGCAAGGAGGAAGGATGGAGGAGCGCTGGGGTTGACGTGCACTTCCACCTTGAAAAACAACACATCATATGATCAGGGACATTAGCTAAGAGAGTTTTAAAGTGTTATTTGTGGTTAATCATTATATAGAGGTCAAGGTCGTTTGAGAACTTAGTGACACTGTGTCAAAGCAGACAGGATAAGAACGTTATGACAGTGTAGCCATTATTAACAGAGAAGGAAGTTAACATGATGACAAGACTGATCATTAACGATGGTTAAAATAGCTTCTGAGGAAATAAGAGTGAGATTTCCATTATTACCCCAGCATACCTTATAACCATCTGTGTCCGTGATCTTGTGAGAACATTTGTGCAAAGCATTGGCAGCAGAGGAATCATCCACATAGAAATGGGCCCTGTTATGATCAACATGGTACTGGACACACAGGGGAGAAAGACATGATTAAAATTCATATAAACAAAGATGGTGCCAACGAACACACTTTCCTTAAAATCTTCAGTTTACAAATGTGTCTAAGTGGGGACTAGAGATATATCTTTTACTTGCAGAGGAGAATTAAAAAATAAATTAAAAAAAAGGGAGCATTAAAAAGCATCACTGTTTAATTTATCAGAACTCAAAGCACATCTGCATTTAAAGGCACAAGACACACAATACCCTTTTGAAAATCCATTAGTTTATAATTAGTAATCACAAGACAGTGTGGGATCTCACCTGTACAGGTGTGTAGGGCACTGAGCAGATGTTCCTAAGAGCTGTCAATAACCAGTTCTTGTCATATTTTCTTCCGTGTGGTATCTGTCAAACAGACAAAAGGGCAAAATATGAGCTCCTGTAACAGGTCACAAGGTAGAAGCATGAACGACCTGTGGCAGCTGTTGCAATACGCACCGTTACTTTGTACCAGCCCGACCGGTTTTTCCCCCCTCCTCCATTGCCTCCAGGTCGGTCTCTAAAGCCGCCTCTTCCACCTCCTCCCCCTTTGCCTCGCCGGTCTCTGTCAAAGCGTCCATCTCCAGCCTTCCATTTATGTCTTCCATACGGGGTGCTAAAGAAGACAAACAAGACCATATATTGAAACAATCCTCCTTTAGGCAGAGTTCACCCTATTAACAAAAGGTCTCCCACCTATCCTTGAGACTAACACACATTTAAATCCACTTCCTACTGCCTAACATATCAAAGCAAAGCCATCTTTCTCTCTTTTCCCACACCTTTCATTACTGCTTTGCCACCTTTAATGGTGCATTTATGCTCCAAACTGTCACTGCCTCTGAAAATAAGGTGCATCACGCAATGTTCATCGCTGTGTCCTAAAAATTACATTAATATACAACTAATTTTAAAACAGCAAATATGTTTAAGGGAAACCCAATGTTGCACTTAATGCATATTTTTATTAACATAATGAGGAAATGCTGCTAATTACCATTCCCAGCAAGTCACAAAAATGTTGATACTGAAGCTATCAGCACTCTCGCAATACAGGGTCAACTTGCAGTGATTACAGCATTATTTTTGTAATCATCTTTTTATTAACACTTAACAGCAATGACAATCTTTCCCTAACCTTAACCTAAGTGCTTCTGTTGGCTAAATCTGACCACAAACAGGAGTCTGGACACAAACCCAGGATTCCGGTGTCCCAGTCCTGTACTTTGTATGTCCGTGATCCATCCCAACCAACTCCCTGTGACCTCAGCACAGTACATAAAAAACTTTTCATTAACTTAAAGCAATGTGGTCCCTGAACATAGTCCGGGCAGCAATTATGTGACCACCACAACATAGTTATGAATGCAATTTAGTAATATACAAATGTAATTTATAGGAGACAGGTTGACATGCATGTGTTTGCAGACAGTTCTCATGCATGCACTGGAAGAGCACCAGATACAATCTGGACAACGTCTCATCAAATATTGCTTTATAGCTCTTTCAGTGGTCGAAAACTCCACAGTATACCTTTAATAAATGTACACACTCACTAGCTGATATTAGTTTGGAACTATTTTGAAATTGCAGGCCTTTTTTGTCCCATTACAATTCCATAACTAGCATTAGGAAAGGATCCCTAAAAAGTTTAGAAAAATCTGAAATGCATGTGTGGCTTATGAGTCACCACGTTCAAATAATGCACTAAGGTGACAGTGATATGACAGTGAAACAAAAAGTTACTTTACTGAGCTCAATTTACTTTCACGGTTTCACTTTCAGTTGGTTTTCCAGTGGTACTTTTTGGGCGAGTACATGACTCGCAGAGGTTTTCATCTGAAGCCCGGAGTGCTAAATGTGAAAATGGTCAGACTTGTTCTACCTTCTCTTCCTGCCACCTACCACAGAGCAGCTTAGGATACCTCGAAGCAGTTCAAGCAACTCCACATGAAAGAATCTAAGTTTTGCTGTCTGTGTGTCACTCATCTTACATATAAAAAGCACAAGAAAAAAAGCAATCTTAAGTTTGCAACTTATTCTTGACAGTTTCTTTTGGCTTACATGCTTAACAATTTTCCAAGCCCTCTTTATAAAGTACGATGCTTGTTTTAGAGCTGATCAACAAGTCAGACACTGACAAACATGTCTGGTGACAATTTTAAACTGCAAAACAATGTGTAAACAACAAACTGGCTCAGCCAGTCAGACACACTTACAATCTGTGCTGGGAGCTGCTGTCCTGAGAGCTGTCACTCATGGTTACATCTGGATCGGGATCGTCGAGCCTAGACCGTGGCCCAGGACCCCCAAAGCCTCCAGCGTGGCTGCCCCGTTGGCGGTCTCTGCGGGACCTGTCATAAGACCGACCCTTGTGGGGGCCTCTGCCTTTACGGTTGCGAAACTGTGGTGCGGTTCTGTCATCATGCTCTGAGAAAGGGTGCAACAGTTTGTCATCTGTTATACAATATTAATTTGTCAGCATATAAATAACAGAATTAGAGTTAAGCAAATAATGCACTATAATGAGACACTGGTAGTGAATGAATAAAACCACAATAATGTCTCTTTCTGTTTGCAGTCATAAGATATAAATCCTTAAAATACAACCTACATCTGAAATTAATACTGTCACAGAAAAAAACACCTAGACTTGCCTTATTGAATGCTACAGTAACTGTAAACATTGTATTTTGTCTTATTAGTATTATAGTAGTAAGTACCAGGTAAATACTTGTGTATATAAAGCACCATTATTAGATATCCAGGGAAAGGCCCAAGATATAATTTTACCTCCATTGACCATGTAACCAGTGCTCCTGACCTCCCTCCTCACCAAAAAGTCCCCTCGGTCTGAAGAAAAACGGTACAAGTAGCACAAAAGATGTGAGGTTAATGCTGAAGGTAACAGGCTGTCTTACCGTTGTAGTAATGCCCGCCGTCCGCCATGTTTCTGGAATAGTGTTAGATTAAAAAACACACGGCCCTGGGTGAAAATATGATCTGCCGGGCCTCGTTTCTCTCTTTCACGAAACACAAACCCTGGACTGAGGAAAAACTTCCAACATCCCAAGTCGTTTCAGAGGAAACATAAATACGAGCACGATGTGATCGCAGAGTTCTCTTTAACTAGCTGGTGGCTAGGCTAACTTCTCCTACTGCGCGTTGACGAGAAGACAGCGGAAGTACAACTTCAAAGAGGGGTTCACTTCCGGGGTAAGAAAAAATGGCGCGAAGAGTTAAACGACAAAAAAAGTTTTGAATGCGTGTTCGGAAAGTAAAATATCACAAAAAACGGAGCGCATCACAATATAAAAGTTTACTAATGTTAGCTTTGACTTGACATTAGTCGTAAGCTGTAGTTAGCATACTGTGTAAACTGCCTGGAGATTTAATAAATGGCTGTCTGACAAAGTATTTAACTATATACATTATATAAATGTAAACTACTTTAATGGTACATCAAAAGGCCGTTAGGTTGTATATTCATGCACAGACAGACGAAGTATAAAGTTAGCACAGAGCTTTTCCGTTGGTCGTTAAGGTGATAACATACTAAAGTGCAAATGTAGAAACAAAGTCAACTGACAAAATGTTACAATAGGTCATCTACAAATCTGTGTCCGTAGGTGAATTGTTAACAACCCCCAAGAGGTTTCACACAGCCCTTAAATTATGTATCTGTCATTTACAGATTCATGGTCTTGAACCTGAACAGGACACATCCAATCACCCTCACATTTAACCAGTCATCAATATAATTAAGCATTCTGGCTAATCAAAAAAGCCTTATTTAGTTTATCAAGAATGGCATTTAGACAGTAAAATTAAGAAGAAAATACATGTTGCTTTGAACATTTAATAATAATAAAATAACATTTTATAGTAGCTTATTTTATTTGGTAAACTATCAAAGTCTGCCAAATCTCCCACACTTTAACTTTTATATTAATACAAATAACTTATATCAGGTTGTCCCTCTCTCAACTGCTCTTGTAAAGTTTTTTTAATTCTATCATTATGATTTAAGTTCATGTACCTCTTACTATTTATTTCTCTTACTTTCCAAGCCACTCATCTGTATTTATTTCTGTCCTTTTGCAGCTGCACCAACTTCATATCCCCTCTGGGGATCAACAAAGGTGTATCTCATTGCTGTAATCAAAGTATTTAACAGTTTAATAATTGATATAATATAACATTTTATGATGATTTATTTTATTTGGCAAATTCAATATCAAAGTTTACCAAACCTGTCACACTTTCTTCACAGATGTTAATCTTTGAATTTGGAAATTACATCGCCTCTCTTATAAATACTACT